CTTTCAGAATCCAGTGTTGGTACGGAGAGATCGCCCTTCCAGCCCTTGTTCTTAACCTAGAGCCACTGCTCCGTTTCCAGAGTGCGGTCAGTTTAGGCCAGGGACCACCTAGAAATGGAATGGTCTTGTTTGAAGGAGTCTGAGGAACAGTAGACTCGGGACAGACCACAGCTGGGTTTGGTACATTTCAGTTCCTGGTGCTGTGTTAACTTTTGTGTTCTTGATGTTTGTAAGTAATTTGACCACTGGAGAAGGTCTCCTGAGAGCTGCTCTTCCCAGAGCCAGCATTCCTGGGAACTTAAGATCATGATTTCTGGGAGGATACTGTGCTGGTGTAGAGAACAGCCCAGAGAGGAGGAGCCTTCCCAGGTGTTCAGGGCTTTTACCTACCTACGCTGTGGTCAAGGCTCTATGCCACCATCCCTGTCTTGTGGAAGGCTGAGCACCTGCAAGACCTGAATGGGTCACTCCCTCTTCAAATGGCAAAACAGTCCCATGTCCTAGAACAGTAGTCTTCTCCCAAACACTTGCTTGTTACAGACAGCAAGGAGTGAAACCAGCTTTGATGTGCCACACTTAGGTCTTGTCTTTTTCACAGCCCCATTAAGTGCCCTTTTAAGGGAAATGTTGTGGGAAATTATTTTATAGTAATACAGTGACAACCGTGCGCCTGACATTTCTGGCATCTCCTTTAGCTACATGTCTCACGCCTACTTGTTCTCATTTAATCTTCACCCTTAGCAGACAAAGAAACAAGCATGGAGGGGAAGGCAGTGCACAGGGGGACAGTGCTGGTGGGGATGGCCTATCTCGCGGTACCTCCCTGCACACTGCCTGTGCTGTTGGCAGACCCACTCCGTGCTGTCCCCCAAGGGATGGCCTATTCCAGACATAGGTCCTGAACCCTGAATTTACATTAGCAGATGAATTCTGCTACTGTAGATGGCTGAGTCCATGTGAGCACAGGTCTGATTGATAGCCCTTTCTTCTTGGTGGACTAATTCCAAGAAGCTAGTGGGGATCTGATGAGATTATTGGCATGTTTTGCTATCTTTGTAGCACAATTCCAGTTCTAGGGGTAGTATTGATGGGCCATCTCTCCTGTCTTCCTCCTGGAAGACATTCTGCCATTGCTTTGGATCCAACCTTCTCTTCCTTTTAATACAAATTTTGTCTATTGTGGGATATGCGTGTGCACGTGCATATGTGTGTGTGTTCTGTTGCTTTTTTAAACAAATTCAGTTGTCTACTGATTTTTCTTCTGGTTCTTAGCCCTAAGCAGTCTTCAGGTAAAATCTAACCTACATTCACACTCCACTCTAAAGCCCTATACTGAATCCAACTCTTCTCCTCCTTTGGGTTGTTCTACCAGCTATGGGGTGGCTATGTTTTGAGACCATAATGGCTAGGCAAAACAATTTTGACTCAATATCAACCTTGTTTAAAGTTCTTGCCAACCCATGATACTGAATCTGTGTCTGAAATAGGCCATCCCATGAAGGAGGGATTTGAGCTAGGGTAAACTAACCTAAAAGACAACATGGGGCGGGTCTGCCAAGAACACAGGCAGTATGCAGGGAGGGCCATCCCCACTAGCACTGGGTGACCCCCTGCTTACTGCTCTGTTGTCAGAAAGTCTGTCGCCCTTTTGGCCTTAGGATTAGACCTTACTGCCTTTGCTTAAGTGGTATGGGTAATGAGCTGTACTGTCTTTTGTTCTTTCTGGCCCTTTACTTCTTGTTGCTTACCCCTCCACATTTCTCATGGTCTGCTCTGTGCAGTAGCTTTTGCCTGTACCTACTTTCCCTGCGGAGTGGCCCCTGCAAGGTAGGGGGGTGAGGGTCCCTTAGAGTCGATCCACACAGTCTCTTTTAAGTGAGCTTCTTCTTTATGTGGTCTTCTTCCTTCTTTTCCCACTAAGTTTGCTTTGCTCATAACCCCTTCCTAGAGCTGAGACCTTGCTCAGGCTTCTTGATGAATTTCCTCTGAACTTACTCACTCATCACACCACACCCTACAGCTGCTCCCACGGTTCGCAGCTGCATTGGCCTGGCCTCATCTTCCCCAGTGAGATGTATTACCAACTGTTCAGGTCAGGGATTTCATCCAGGTACTTTCTAAACCACTGTCTTGCAGAGTGTTTTCTTTTTTGTTGTTGTTATTTGTTTGTTTTTAATGACCCACATTTAGGCAGTTTGAATCTCTGCACAGATAGGCATAGAATGGAGACAAACTGTTTTTTATAGGTATACTTTTTAATTTTTTTATTTTTTAACTTTCAAATTACATTTAATTTTGTCTACACATATGTGCCTCCTTGTTTTCCATGTCTTGCATGTGGCAGTCGGGGATAGCTTGCGGGAATTGGTTCATTCTTTCAAGCATGTGGGTTTTAGGGCTTGAACTTGCTGAGCTTCTTGGCTCCTACTTTGGGGTGGCAAGTTAGAGGGGACAGACTGCACAGATTTTGCCTGGCACGAAGAAAGCTCAGTCCATCAGAGAGCAGGCAGCCATCACAGTATATTGTCCTGTGTAACTCTCACAGGGGCTTTTCCAGTTGCTTCTGTGTATAATGAGTGAAGGCATGAGGTAGTCCAGACTTGCCCAAGGTCATAGACATGACTTAGATCTTGGTCTTCTAACCCTTTACTTTCGCTGCATTGTGTATGGTGCTACTGTTGATGAGTCAGTAGTGAGTGCTTTTTTTTTTCAGGCCTTAGAGTGAGTACTGTCTTCTTGTATCTGAGCTGGTTTGTCTGGTTGTATAGAGAGCCTACTGTGGACATCTCTAGGTGGCTATAGGAGAACGATTAGGTCTGGGACAGAACTTGTGACCATTCCCAGTGCTGTTCCATTTGTATTTGCAAGTACCATTTGGGTTTTGAAAAGGTTCTACCTGGGATTTCAAGTTTGGGCAGGCCAGGCTCTGTCATTTTAATCATGCATCACTGTGTGATGAAGCATACTATTTGACCCCATTTGGCACTAACTGACTCAGGATTATAGGTTTCTGTCAGGGTTGAAAGCTTCACCGAGGCTGAATGCAATGAGATTGCTTCCTATGGAGTCCTACTTGTTGTGAGCAACTTACATGAGTTGGTGAGAAATGTCCCTAAAGAACACAGTGCTCAGAGTCTGATCAATTTCCTCATTCTCCACAGAGCAAACCTGTGATATTAGTGGGCCTCCATTAGTATTGGGGTGGTAGTGGTAATGTTGGTACCTTCATCCTCTGAGGATTGGGGTGTAGATTAAATCAATTCTGCTTATGAGGTCCCTGGAAAGTGCTTGCTACATTAGCCTGATCAGCTGCCACTGCCCAGTGTTGTTACTCAAATTAGTAAGAAGTGCTTGTTGACAAACCCTGGTGTTTTGGCCTTGAATTAAGGCATTCCCTTCCTTTTGCTTCTGTGTTTGGCTTGCAAACTTTGCTGACTCCTGGATTGTTTTAGAACTGCAGTGTTTTCCCTTGCATTATGGAGTCATTTCAGGTCCCAGGGAAAATGTAATGGTGCATGCAATCCTGTCCCTGCGCTGCAGGGGCTGTACTGACTGCCTGGCTCTCTCCCTGCTGTTGGCAGCAGCCTGCTCTGATAGTGTCATGTCCACTGTGGGAGCTGTGGGAGCCAGGCTTAAGAATTCTAAGAACATGCTTTGCCTGAGTCTTAGCTCCTGGTTAGTGGATCTGTGTTTTGTTTCAAGTTCCACCTGGTTTCAGAAGCCTCCCTAACCCATGTTTTCTCTCCCAAACTATATGTTTGGATATAGTCACAAAAGAGGTCTGGACTCCTTAGGGTGGCAGTGCAGAGAGACCTGAAGCCCCAGCTCTGAACTTTAAGTTTGCATCACCTTGTCTGTAAGGTGGGGTGATACAGTGCCTAGAGATACAGCAAATGGAAAGAAGCATCCAGGTTCTGGGGCATCTTACGGTCTGAGATTGCTGGCCTTAGCATAAATTGTACACTAGACCAGGCTCAGTACATGCAGTGGGGTTATTGTTACTAATTCTTGCTAGAATGTCACAGGCCGTAGAATCACTGTCAGCACAAAGCTTTGGGTAGATTTCCTATTGACTTGAAGACATTGACATCTACTTACTGGACTGGGAGCATCTCACTGTTGGTACTGACCTGTCACCACCCAATCTTGTACAGGTTCCGAAGCCAGTATCAATCTCTCAGCTCTGGATAGATAGGGACCATTTCAGGGTAGGCAGAGTAGGATCCTAACCCTATACACTCCAGAGTAAGAAGCTGTTGCAGTTCTTAGAAGCCTTAGTTGGCTTTTCTGGGTGAGAGAATGATATTCTAGCTTGTGCCAATAAATCCTCTTCATAGGATCCATAGCTCTCATCATCCAGAATGGCACAAAACTGTCACAGTTCCACACTTGTTTTCTTTCAGGCCAGATCACATCCCTTAGGGATGCTCCTCATGTGTGATAGACAACTAGAAAATAATACATTTTGATTTTACAGGGATCCTAAATCACACATTATTCCAGAAGCTGACTCCCCTGAACCCTCCTACTGGATGTTTGGAATGTGGGTCACTATGTGTGACTAAGCTTCTGTGGCTGCAGTCTGTGGATCAAATTAGTGACTCTGCATATGGAGGTCACTTTTAGATTTCCAGGGCATGGCAGAATTATTGACAGAACAACGGGCAGTGATGGCATAGCAGTGGCCGTTACAATAGCCATTATTCATCTCTTAACCAGAAGTACATAAGAGCTGCCACTATGTGGGAATCCTGGCTAAGGGGCTGCAGACCCTTGTAACTCCATAACCACCATAAGGGAAGTATGCAGACCTGTCCTAAGACATTACCACAGCAGGGAGTTCTTGGACCCCTTCAGCCTATGGCTTTCCTTCTGAACAGAAGAGAAGACGGAGTGCATTCATCCTTACAATGAATTAATGCTATAAGCAGTTCCTTTTGGGGGGGGGGGTAAATATGAAACTGGCTGGGCCCAGAGTCACCTTGGTGTTTTTGTTCTAGGAATATGAAGACAAGGCTGGAAGACCACCCTCTCCAAAGCAGAATGTGAGGAAGAACCTGGACTTTGAGCCGTTGTCCACCACGGCACTCATCCTTGAGGACAGACCCGCGTGAGTCTGAGGAAGAGCCTCTGTGCTTTCTGCTGTGGGGATGGGGCTAGCTTGCCATTCCTTTTTCAAAGGCAGGAGAGGGGAGAAGAGTGGCTGGGCCTCTTGTTAACTCCATGTCAGTCTTCACTCAATGTGATACGAAGTGATGATTTGGGAAACTGTTCTGTGTCATAGAAATTTAACCAGGATATTCCTCTCAGGCAGTATTTGCCTGTAGTTTATCATTCAGGTTCACATTGTGTAGCCGTTGTTAAGTGCAAGGCCAATTTGTGAGTGCAAGGAACCCTACAAGTATGCTCCAGAGTGATGCTGTGAAGGTACCTTTGTTTGCAGGACACATCCTAGAGTGACTTGTGGAGTTTCTATGCTGATTCAAGTCAGGATTTCTCTGTCTGGACCTAGGTATCCCTGCTGTGTGATGAGGAGATTATGCTTAGAGGCCTTCCTAGAGGAGGAAGTCATAGCTAGACTAATTACTGAATTTACATAGCACAGTGTGTTGGGGGAGGTTTCCCACCAGAGGAAGAACAAGAACAACAGGCTAGTTGTCTGGTCAGTTCCAGGATCCATCCATCTCTGATATTTAAAACTGTGAAGTCAGGCCAGTGAGATGGTCAATAAGTAAAGAAAGAGGCTTGCTGCCAAGCCTGATGAGTTTGATTCCTGACACTTGTATGGTGGAAAGAAACAACTGACTTTTGCAACACCTCCCCCCACCCACACACACACAGGGGGGGCGAGAGAGAGGGAGAGATGGAATTGAGAAAGAAATGTAATTTAAAAAATTAAAATGTGAATTCTAATGAGGAGTGTACTGCTGTTCCCGGTTCTTGGAGACCAGGAGTGGGGAGGGGGGGGATCCTGAAGAGGAGGTTGGAACTTTAGGGTGAAGAGAAGAGCACCTCTTTTAGTGTGCTGAGAGGTAGACTGGGGGCTTGTCACCTTTAGCCAGTAGCAGTGGGTTGCAATCTCACAGAGAACTTAGGTGGTTATAGTACTTGTGAGATGTAGGCCAGGTGCCACCACATCTCATTAAGTCAGTTGCCAGAGTTCAGGGGCGTTTTCTATGGGATATGTATAGCTTCTGTGTGCATTTGTATGGAACAGAGTGAAGGAACTACAGAACTGTACTAGTTATTGCTCTCATTGCTGTGGCAAATACCTAGCAAGAGAAGCTCAAGGGAGCGAGGGTTTATCTTGGCCCATGTTTTGATGGTGTGGTCCCTTATGGTGGAGAAGGCATGGTGACAGGTGATAGGCTTGTGAGGTGCTGATGACGTTGCATCAGCAGTCAGGAAGCAGAGATAATGCTGGGGCTCAGAGTGCTTCCTCCCAGCCTTTGGAATGGCGTCACCCACATTCCTTCTTTAAAACAGTCTGGGAATACCCTCCCAGAAACACCCAGAGGCGTGTTTCTTCAGGCGTTGTACCAGACAGTGTGATTAACTATCCTAAGAGCTGATTTGAAACTGAGCACTGAAACTGTTCGTATAAGATGTACTGTGAGGCCATCCTGATGCAAGGGCCAGCTGTTGACACTACTGCTTTGTAGTCAGATCCGTGTTTTTGGGGGAATAGGGTGACTTCTTTTTCTACATCTTTATAGCCGAGGATTTCACAGTGAGTATTTTGCTTTGTAAGAAATGTCTTTGCAGGGAGATAGCTTGTGGTGAAGCCCTTGGCCACTGTGTGTGTAAAGCCCCAGGGGTTGTCCCTAGCTGAGCTTATAGCATATAGTCCCAGCACTTGGGAGGCTAAGGTAGTAGGGTATCCTGGGCTCAACAAAACAAACTTTTAGTTTGTGAAAGAACTGTAGTTTTAAATAATTGATTTTTTTTTTTTTTTTTGATTTTGGGTTTTACAACTTTTATGCAACAATGCTTCAGGGATTTTTCCCCCCTCAGACTTTTATGTAGTTGTAACATGCAAACCTATTTATTTTCTGTCAAGAAATCTCCCAGCAAAACCAGCCGAAGAAGCTCAAAAGCATAGACAGCAATATGAAGAAATGGTGGTGCAGGCCAAGAAACGAGGTACCGTGAAAGGGTTCAAATTCTGTGGTGTGGGTGTTTTCTTCTTCTCTTTTGGAGCTCTTTAACTTTACTCTTGATGAAGGTTTTCATACTCTGACATGTATAGTTTTTTTCCCAGTAAACAAACAAGGATGCTTCTCTCCATTCCTGGTAGCATAATAGTCCTAAATGAGCTTAGGATATGGTAGCATGTAGCTGTTAGCACAGCACTTGGGAAGTTAAAGCAGACTCTTGAGTTTAAGCCAGTGTTTAACTCAACCCTGTCACATAGACTTCCCTGAGAAAAGGCACTGTAGGGAAAGAAGTGCGTGCTGGAAAGGTGCAGCCAGCAGGGACATGCAGTGCTGGAAAGGTGCAGCCAGCAGGGACATGCAGTGCTGGAAAGGTGCAGCCAGCAGGGACATGCAGTGCTGGAAAGGTGCAGCCAGCAGGGACATGCAGCTGTGCTTCCCTCCCTAGGCTGTTGTTTTCACAAGATGTAAGCAGATTTGATAAGTTCCTTTGCAGCACACCTCATGTCTTAGTTAGGGTTTCTGTTGCTATGAGGTCACCAATAAAGGAAAACATTTATTGGGGCTGACTTACAGTCCCAGAGGTTCAGTCCATTATCATGGTAGGAGAGCATGGTGGCATGCAGGCAGACACGGTGCTGGAGAAGGAGCTGAAAGTTCTACATTTTGATCCATAGGTAACAGGAAGTTAACTGAAACACACTTCCTCCCGAAGAACCTATGGGGCCAATTACATTCAAACTACCACACCTAAAAAACTAGAGTATTATGACGCTAGAGTGTTTTTTTGTTTGTTTGTTTGTTTGTTTTTTGCTTTTCAAGGAAGGATTTCTCTGTAACAGCCCTGGCTGCCCTGGAACTCACTTTGTAGGACCCTAGAGTGTTTAAAAAGTATATATAATAAATAAATGGAATATCATTCACCCTTTAGAAGGAGATTCTGACACATTACAAAATGGTTGAACTTGATTGATTCAAAGTGAAACAAACCAGGAACCAAATGACAAATACTATGATTCCATTTCTTTGGGGTGCCAAAGGGCAGTGTATTGAGAGCCTTTTAAGCAGAAGGGGATCTACCTGGGGAGGGACAAACAGAGAGTTAGTGGTTAATGAAGACAAGTTTGTTCTTGGAGAAGGTGAGAAGGTTCTAGATATGATAGTGATGGAGGTGCACCATGGTATGAATAAATGCTATGAAATTATATAGTTAAGTTGATTAAAATCTCTTATGTCTCTCCATCATAAAAAACTATAACTGTCCTCAAGTATCCATGAGCGAGTGGGTTCCACAACCTCTTGCTGTTGCCTGGATCTAAAGATGCTCAAGGCTTATTTATAAAATGGCATATACTGTGTATCTATAAACTGAGTACGTTGTCCAGGGAATATGAGAAGAAATCAGTCCACACATGTTTGGTACAGCCATGATTTGATTAGCTTAGTCTGAGGCTGGAGAATACATGTATGTAGAAGTTACCATGGAGTAAACTAAGGAAACTGTATATATGATCTTCCTTAGAACTGCTGCTGGTAGTCAGGAGTAAATGCAAGGGACTGGAGCCATGGCTCAGTGGTAGAGAGCACTTGTTGCTCTTGTAGAGGACCCAAGCTGGGTTCCCAGCACACATATGATAACTCACAACAACAAGCGTATACTTGTAATCTCAGCAAATCTGGAGAAAGAGGAAAATGAGGGGTCAATCTGGCCTACATATCAAGACCCTGAGTTTTAAAAAATAAACCCATAGGATATGAACTAAGTATCAAGAGCATACATTTGCTGTCTGCCCACACCCCCCATCTGTGTGTGTGTGTGTGTGTGTGTGTGTGTGTGTGTGTGTGTGTGTGTTGTGTATGAATGTGTGCAAGTGCAGCACACATGTGTGCACATACTGGCCAGAGGAGGGCATCAAGTGTCCTATCACTGTTCATCTTATTCTTTCACATGGAATTTACTTTCTTTGTGGCAAAAGTAAGCCATTATGCAAGAAAGTTCTCTTGCCTCAACTGCTGACAGTTTGCTGTCCAAATTGGACTAGTAGGACACAAAAGAGAGTGACTGCCAAACCTTGCCAAGACAAGGCAGGAGAGTCCTTCAAAAAATCCTGCTTTGTAGAAAAGTCTGTCAAATATTTTAGGCCTTTAGGCCAATGATGGAAGCTTGGGTGACTGCCTAAGCAGCCAGCTGTTCTTGTCATTTCTCTTATTTTTTTGGAAGTTGGCTTGCTCGCACTTCCCGCTTGCTCAGTTAATATTATTTCCTTCTTGAGTCCCTAAAGGAGTTGAAGACAAGGTGGTTATAGTTACAGTTTTCCTTGTTTATCAAACTCAAAACAGAAACCCACTAAAGAAGTGTAAAGTGTAAAAGGTTGAGAGATATCAAAAGATAATTTGATGATGCAAATTAGTATAGAAAATGAATTAGGTACAACACTTTGAACTCATCAAGATAGGATAGATAATGGAGTATTTCTCTGAATTTTCAAATGCAAATGGACTAGATACTGTTGATATATTTATTGCCTGTATATATATATTGTATATAGTTATTGCACTTGTATAGTTTTTTTTTTGTTTGTTTGTTTTTTGTTTTGTTTTGTTTTGTTTTTTCAAGACAGGGTTTCCTCTGTATTGCTTTGGAGCCTGTCCTGGAACTAGCTCTGTAGACCAGGCTGGCCTCGAACTCACAGAGATTTGCCTGCCTCTGTCTCCGAGTGCTGGGATTAAAGGCATGTGCCACCAATGCCCAGCATTAGTTTTTCTTATATCAGTTATAAGCTTTGTGTTTTAGACAAAAAAGGGGAAATGTGGTGATATTTTACCATCTAACAAATAAATCTTGCCTGAAGATCAGAGTGCAAACCTAGCCACACTGATTGGCCATAGATGCCAGGCAGTGATGGCATACACCTTTAATCCCAGCACTCATGAGGCAGAGGCAGATGGATCTCTGTTAGTTCAAGACTACTCTGAGCTGCATGAAAATGATCCAGTCTGAAAGAGAAACAGCTCACACAAAGGTGATCTGAGCACTTGGAATGACAAGCCTTTAATCCCAGCACTGAGGAGGTGGAGACAGGAAAGTTTATGTCTGGGAGGAGAGAGGAATATAGGTGGGGAGGAGACAGGAACTCGGGCAGTATAGGCAGAAGGCAGTGTGAGGAGCAGTTCAGTCTAAGCAGTCTGAGGGTGCAGTCTGAGGACACGATCGCCCCTTTGGTCTGAGCGTTGGTAGAGGTGAGAACTCTAGTGGCTGGCTGCTTTCCTTCTCTGATCTTCAGCATTAATCCCCAAATCTGACTCTGAGTTTTTATTATTAAGAACAATTAGGCCAGGTGGTGGCGACACATGCCTTTAGTCCCAGCACTGGGGAGGCAGAGGCAGGTGAATCTTTGTGAGTTCAAGGCCAGCCTGGTTTACAAAGTGAGTTCCAGGACAGCCAGGGCTACAAAGAGAAACCATGTCTTGAAAAACCAATGACAACAACAAAAAGAATAATAATTTGTTTGCGCTACATCTTCACTGTTATTTTTCTGATGTTTTTGCAATGTGAACTTAAAGTGGTGGGTACTGGCTACTCATTGGTTTCTTCTTTATTTTAACTATGTTTTATAGAGCTTAAAGAAGCCCAGAGACGGAAGAAGCAGCTGGAGGAAAGGTGCAAGGTTGAAGAAAGCATAGGAAATGCGGTTCTCACCTGGAATAATGAGATCTTGCCGAACTGGGAAACCATGTAAGCATTGTCACTGGTGCTGCTGAGTGTGGCCACTCCTTTCTTGAATCTGTGGGCAGTAGTGCAGTTGAATGAACACATTGTGAAGCCTTTGATAAAATTAGCTCTTGTCTTGGTGCAATCCTGTTGTTCCTTGCTGGCCATGGTGACAGCATCTTCCAGTTTATCTTTTGAGAGCTTGAGCCATGCTTGCAAAGCTTATGTCTCTGTCACTCCGTACTTGAAATTTTGGTAACTTCTTGTGGGTCTCCATATGAAATTTGAATCAACTGTGTACCTAAGTGGATAGCCTTCTGTGTGTGATGGCCTGCCCTGCCTCTGTAGACTGTTCCCTGGAACTACACTAATGGCCTCTGGAGCTTTGCCTGCCCTTTCCCTGTCTACAGTGTCCTGAACCTCTTCATCCTTCTAAATCCTGTTTTTTTTTTCTCTAGCTCAATCTTCCCAGGGAATTTACTGCTCCCCCCAGCATCCCTGCCCCCACTCCCTGTAGAAAACTCCTTTGAGTCTCCTGGCACAGCCTGCTTGAGCATCTCTCTCTCTCTCTCTCCGAGGGTGGAAATCACTTGTCTTTGATGTCATCCTGCAGTGTCAGTACAGAGTTGCACCCCACAGTGTCTGGCAGCTGTGGCATCCTCACTTCTGAGGATCTGTTGTACATCTCGTTTATTCCTGTGTGGCTAGCACAGGCAGGCAGGGTCATTGTGACCAACTGAGTTGAATGACTGTGTTGTTCAGAAGAAGTTCCAGTTAGCATCCTGTCTACAGTAGTGTGTGGCTGTCACCTGGTTCTGGGCGGCCCTGTGAGGCCCCTTGGAGCCTCCTTCCCGCTACACTTGTGTAGAAGAGAGCTGCCAGCATGCCTCCCCTATGCCCAACACGTCTCCCCTGTGCCCTGCACTCATCTGTGCACAGCTCTTTACAGTCCTGTAGGTGATCACTGTTCCTCTGTCTGTTTTCTGCTCAGAAAGTCCTTTCATTCCTTCATATGTCCAGACTTATACCAGTCACTCACAACCTGGTTCTGGAAGGTTTCTTGGCTCTTTGGTCTGTGGTGTTCCCTTCACAGTGCCTGTCACAGCAGAGAAAGGGTTGTCTGGATCCAGTAGATCCAGATGGGTGAGCTCCCAAGGCAAGGGACAAGGGGGTGAGGCCAAGGCAAGGGACAAGGGGGTGAGGCCCGAGTGCAAATAAGCCTTTCTCAGCTCATCTTTGTCAGAGAGCAAACTCAGTCACGCATGCTTCCGTTCTGTTCAGGTGGTGCTCTAAGAAGGTTCGAGACTTATGGTGGCAGGGAATCCCTCCCAGTGTGAGAGGCAAAGTATGGAGCTTGGCCATTGGCAACGAGTTGAACATTACCCACGGTGAGTGGCTTGCATGATCCTACAGGTTAAGGTCCATCCTGGGGTTTTGGGACTCCCTTTTGTCACTTTGCCATGTTAGAGAGGATGATAACCACTGCCATGAAGCTGTGGCGGGAATGCCAGGCGTCTGGGCATGGGTTCAATACTGGCTGCTCCACTTTCCGGAGAGGTCAAAGCAGGTTTCCTAGAGAAAAGGACAGCAGACACAGGGCTCCAATTCTCACTGGAGTTGGGTAGGCAGAATCTCTTCTCAGAGTCAGACAGGAGAGTGGAGTTAGGTACTTAGGGTACCCTTTGGTGATGGTTTTGCTTTTTGTTTTTTGTTTGTTTGTTTGTTTTATTTTTTCAGCCCTAGAGAGGCTAGAGCTGGTATCATTAGGGCATTAAGCTAGTATTTGAGGGAGGGAGACCCTTTTCTTGAAGTTTTAAAGCTGTTTATCATGTTTCTCAAGAACTTAGCTCCATACTAACTAGTTTGCATAACTAACATATGCAAAGCCCTGGGTTCACTCTCTAGTATTGAAACTTTGAGGAAAAACAAATGGGCATGTTGGTACACACCTGCACATGAGAGGCTGAGGCTTAGGTACACACCTGCACATGAGAGGCTGAGGCTTAGGTACACACCTGCACATGAGAGGCTGAGGCTTAGGTACACACCTGCACATGAGAGGCTGAGGCTTAGGTACACACCTGCACATGAGAGGCTGAGGCTTAAAGGGTGGTTGGGAGATTTAGGACAGTCTGGGCTACAGGGTGAGACCCTGTCTCTAAAACAAAACAGATCCTTAAGTCTCTCTCAAGTGTTCAGCTGTTGTGTGCTCTGCCACACCAGCCTCAATTTACTTCTGTCTCTAGTGTCCTGTTGGGCTCTGGGTGTCAGAGTTCTAGGCGCACACAGATCAAACATGAGGCTTTAATGCAGGTTGAGTCCCATTTCCTCCCGTTGAAAGTAAGCTGCTCTGGCAGCAGGCCTTCCTTCTTCCTGTTATGGCACCATGCCTATCTACACATTGAAGTCAAGCTGCTTTTACTCTGGTAGAGACTCTTAAGTTTAAGGCAGATTGCTTCTGCCTTACCCCTCTAGTTAGGTTGTTGTGTTCATCTTGACAGTGTAGCTTCTCCCATGACTGTAGCTTGAAAAGCAGAGCTATTGGTTAGGTGGTGACTGGTTTCCTTCAAGAAGGATGGCAGGGCAGAGAACATTCTTCTCTAAACTGTAACAGGAATAATAAAAAACCCAGAAACAGATACTGGGGTTCAAGCTGAAGATCAGAAAAGCAAAGCAATAGATCAGAAAAGCAAAGCAGTCAGCCACTAGCTCTAACCTCTACCTTAGACCAAAATCGGTGATCCTGTCTCCACGAATTCTCAAAGTACAATCCAGACTGCCCTGCTTTCTACCAAGTCTCAGACCGCAGTCCTCTGAGCTCCTGTCTTCTCCATGCTGTCCAGACATATCACTCCTGTCTCCGCATCCCTAGTGCTGGGATTAAAATTGTGTGATTGGAAGTGCTGAGATCACCTTTGTGTGAGCTGTTTCTCTTTTAGAATGAATCAATTTCATGTAGCTCGGGTAGCCTTGAACTAACAGAGATCCATCTGCCTCTGTCTCCCGAGTCCTAGGACTATAGGTGTGCACCACCACCACCTGTCCTCTATGGCTAACTAGTATGGCTGCTGGGATTGAAGGTGTGCATCCCCACTGCCTGATTCTATGGCTGTGGCTGGCTTTGTACTTTGGTCTTCAGTGCCTTTATTAAATCATAAATAATATATCACCACACCAAATTCTTTTCCTGGCTAAATCTGTTCCTGCCAAAATTTTCACTGTAGGATATTTATGTGAAAAGATGTGTCATATGTGATTTAAAGTAGATCATAGCCTCTCAGAAGAAGAGGTGAGAAGTTGCTGAGCATACAAAGATCTGTGTGCTGGAGTCTTCTAAACTCTACCACAGTTCTTGTATGGCTAATTGGATACAACATGTAGTGTTTGCATATTTAATTTTTGGCTCTCACTGATGCTTGGGTTTAATTTACTTAAATGAAAACCTGTGATGGACTAGATGATGACAGATGGTACTGAGCAGCTACCTAACTGTGTGTACATCTTTGCCCGTCTACCTGTGCCTTGGTACTAGCTCACTCTGTCATATAGTTTATGTCTGTCTGCAGTGAATGCTGCATCTTGTCCATTGTCCCCACTATAGTGACCTTACTGCACTGTTGTCTACTCTGTCATTTGTGCCCAGCCTAGTCTTCTTCATGTGGCAGGCCCCATGAAGTATTTATTTGTTGAGTGAATGAATGTACTTTATGAACTTGCTTCTGACCTCATTTTACTGTTTCTCCCAGCCAGTCTGAGGCAGTGATCTTGATCTGTTGGGGGCCAAGCACCAGCTGATGTTCACTACCTCATGTCTTATTTAACATCAGCTGTGAGTCTCAGGCAGGTCTTGAGGGCTTCGTTTTCTTCTTGAAAAGGTTAGGCTCTGTGCCCTGTATCTCTGGCCAGTGTGTGTGGGATCAAGGTTCTCATTCTACGTCTGACTGGTTCTGAAGTTCATGTTCTGGCTTGGGAAGACTCAGTTTTATTCTTTTTTTTTTTTTTTTCCGTGATTGTAGAACTGGAAACTTACTGGACTCAGCAGTGTCCAATAACACCACTAAATTTCTCTCTGGGGGTGGGGGGTGGTTTGACAACAACAAAATCCAGTAACAAACACCACCAACTCACCCTGACATACACACCACGTACACATAAAACAAAACACCCAAGCTTTACTCCCAGGGAAGAAGGGCTTGTATTTTGAAATTGGGGCTGGTGGCCTGGTCCCGTGGCTTGGCAGGTAAAGTCCCTCACCATGCAAACCTAGTGATCTAAGTTTGATCCTTGAAACCCCTAGAAGGTGGAGGGCAAGAATTCACTCCACAAAGTTGTTCTGGCCCCCACATGTGCGCTATGACACATGTGTGTCCCTCCCCACATCACACACATGTGCTGCACATTAGCAAGTATAATTTTAAAAAGAGGTCGGAGGTGGGGTCCTGAGATAAAAGTATAATCATTCTGCTGCATCTGCTATCCATGCTGACAGTAAAATTGGAGGAGATTCTGTGAGCTCAGACATGGACTCTTTATTCCTAGGTGTCCAGTCTCTGCTTCAAGCCGTCAAGTTCCTTACTTGTGATGGTCACATGCCATACAGTTGTTTTGTGTACCTCCTCTGAGAACTACAAAATGCTTTGAGCAAAATCCTTAATTTTGGATTCCAAGTCTGACTTGTCCACTAAGGAAGTCTTAAGAGTCCCATTAGGTTTAGTTGCAGTAAATTTTCAGTTGTTCAGCTTTTAAAAACAACAGAGCTGGGGCTTCCCAAATAAGAACATGCCCACCTCCTGGAAGCTGAGTGGGCAGAGGTCCCAGCGCATGCTCTACACCCCCCACCCCCCAGCCTTGCACATCTTTGGGTTTCTTTTGGATAACAGTGATACAAAGTTGTATGTCATAACTGCGCCCTTTTGCTATGGCACACAAGCATAGGCTGTATGCATATTAGAGCTGTCAGAAGGCCAGAATGGGATCATTAGTCAATACATTACTTGCTGGAGTATAATAATGTCAATAGAATGAGTTACATTTAGAAAAACTCATGAAGGCATCTGTGCTTGGCTTTACCCTGCAGAGTAAATGACACAAAAGGTAAAGTGGTAAACACTCAGTGATAGTCTGAGTGAAAGGCAGTGATTTGTCAGCATTCCTCAGATAGAGTATGGGGTCTGGGAATCATGGGTGCCAGAGGTACAGTGTTGGAGGATCTCGGGCCCTGAGAAACAAACCCAATGCATGGGACATGGGTGTACCCAGGAGGTCTGTGTGTGCTGTTGAGTCATGAGCATGGCTTGTGCTGCAGTGGCCCAGTCAGTCAATGTGTAGTGGTTATTTGGAAGCTGAAGTTATCTGACTATTAGCAAACTACCTGGGAAGCAGGGCTGCTGAAACACAGGTTCTGAACATGGAAGAGATTTGGAGACTTAAGACAATTCCCTGACACAAGAATCCTTGTTCTTTGGGAGCTCTGCCTGTTCAGGGTACCAATTCCTACCCCCACCCCTCTTCCAGTAACAAGATGAGGAATTCTGTGCCATATGTATGGGTAGCAAGTGCCTCGTGTCCTTATTTGAAGACAGTGCTCATCTGAATGTAGAAATCCTGGAAACTGAATTTCAAAAACAATTCCTATAGAGAAAAGGCTACAATGAGAAGGCCAAATTCTCTGGAAAGCAGCAGGGTCTAAATTGCCAGTATTTAAAAACAAACAAACAACAATAACAAAAATCATTTGTCTGCAGTAGTCTCCAAGCTAATGACGTTCAGTAGCTTTTCAGGAACTTAAGCAGCATTTGCCTGAAGAAGTCAGCAGTTACTTACTGGTTGAAAATAATTAATATAGGATACTTCTAGAAGCTGGCAGCATGTTACTGGAACTGCTTCTGCAGCTTCTGCTTCTGTGGTTTGTTGAATGCAAGTGGAATGGGTACAGGAAGTATGGTGCAGGAGGCCAGGCAGCACGTGTCACAGGGAACAGTTATGTCTGTGTATGGTGACTCCTAGAGAAGTTTAGAAAATTGACATGGATGTGTGGATGTGTCCTCAAGGAGAACCATGGTCTAAAGGAAAGAGCAGTGTGGTGTCCTGTGTCAGCCATTGTGGGCTACCTCCTTGGAACTGCCCATATTCTACCCCTGTAAAATGGTTTCCTGTCTAAAATGTCCTTTACTCTATTTTGTATTTAAGCCACCACCCCCCAAAATTATTAGCAGTTTTTGCAGTTTGTTATGCTGTGTATGCGTGTTTTATTTTGTGGGTATGGTGTTTTGCTTGCATATATGTCCGTGTATCACATGTGTGTGGTGCCTACAGAAGCCAGAGAGGGTATTAGATCCCCGGGAACTGTAGTTAGCAGATGGTTGTGAGCCACAGTGTGGGTGCTGAGAATTGAACCCAGGTCCTCTAGAAGATCAATCAGAGCTCTTACTGCTGAGCCATCTGTCTAGCCCCTGTGCTCTGTGCTTTATCTTCATGCCACTTTGAATATTCCAAGTAGAAATTGTATATAAACTTTAGATTGCCTCAATTTATTTTATGCATTTCTTTCAGATCCTACTGTGTGAGTATGTGTTACTACGATGTTGATTGGGTGTGTACAGATTGGACATCTGTATTTAAGGACATGCTTTGAAGTCTGGGCTCTTTGGGTGACTATATGTGCAATGGTAACCTATCTTAGTTTTGATTAAAGATTTAGGTTGTCTGACCCAGTGTTTCACATGGCCGGTTAGGAACCTTGGTGCACAGTTATGAACCATAGTAATAGTTGTTCAAACGCTTTGCTTTCCAGCATATTTCTGTGTGTATAGGTCATCTGCTTGTGATTTAGGCATATAATGTGTTTTAGCCACTGTGATGCTTACAGTTCATACTGTGATGCACATGAAGTATTCTATTGTTTTTGTGCTCCTCAATCCCCTGTTGATGTAAGTAAATGTCTTTAAAAATTTTTTTTTCTTTTTTTTTAAGGGTTGTATTTTTAGGATTTAGATTTTTAAGCATTTCAACATTTAGGATTAAAGCATTTGGGGTTGTCTTTGGAGATTATGACTCAAACCCATTAGAAACCAGTTGTACTCTGTCCACCCATCCCTTAGTCCATAGATGAGCTACTGACTGATCTCTTCAGTCCCCAAGGCATTTAGTCTGGATACAGAGGTAAGCAAGAGGCTTTGACCATCCAAGAAAGTCAGAATATGAATAAGTAGCTGTGTAGCAGAGGAAGACACTGAGCACTGTGGCCATGTTCATGATCTTCCTTTGTAAGTGCCTGTCTTTAGGCAGGGTGATGTCAGGCTAAGCTGGGAGGAATTGTTGAAAGAGTACCTTCCTCTGTCTTGGTGAAGGATATAGTTGTGTGTTCTTCTCTGGTGTTGGTAAGAAAACATGTACAAGTAAGACTCACCAGAGGCTTTTCTTTCAGAGCTCTTTGACATCTGTCTTGCTCGGGCCAAGGAGCGGTGGCGGTCCCTCAGCACTGGTGGCTCGGAAGCGGAGAACGAAGGTACAGCTCTCCCCTCACGGAGCAGTCACTCACAGCAGTAATACTCCTCACCAGCTCCAGTGTGGCTTTATGGCAAAGGGACTGTTAAAGATGGAAAGGAAATCACTTTTAGAAGAAATAGAACCCTGCAATTGAGTGTTGGCTTCTAGAGGCAGAAGCAGTGCATATCTGTGAGATTAGAGGAAAGACCATTGCACACAAGAACAATGCCTTTGCGGGTAGGCAATGTGACTTTTCATGCTATCTTGCATTAGAATTTAAAAACAGGTAAACCATTATTTATGAATATTTGAACATAAGCTGTTCCTATTTTTTATTTTTTATGACTGGATTTTGTGTGCCTATCATGCACAACATGTTTTGAAGCATTTATAAAACTATGATAAAAATGTATGTATGTATGTAAATGCCTTTAAATACATTTTTTTAAAATTCAGAATTATATTTTTAGGATTTTAGACTTTAGGAATTTCAACAGTTAGGATTTAAGTATAAATCTAGGTAATTTATACTAAGTAATACACATTACTTCACATAGATTGCTTACCCTCCTCTCTCTAGCTCTGCACTGGGCATTGAGTTCAGGGCTTATACATGCTAGGCCATCTTTTTCTTACTGATCTATGTCCCAGTCCTTAGTTTAGGTTTTTTTTTTAATAGGGAAGACAACTTTCCACTGTTCTTAGTCTGTTTCAACGATACTATGTATAATTAACTATAACCACTATTTTGTAGGGGTTTTCTTTTATCTGAAGTTTTGTATCTTTTGACCAGTATCTCCCTGGTTCCTTCCTGCCCCGTCCGCCCCTGCCTCTAGTAAACCCATTCTGATATCTGTTTCTTTGCATTCAACGTTTTTAGACTGAATCCACAAATGATATTGTACAGTTCTTGTCTTTCTGTGATTGATTTATTTACTTGGCATACTGTTCCTCAGCTCATCTGTTGTCCACATCTGCTCCCTATTCTTCATCTGTTAACTGCAGACAACCACTGTGTCTCTTGACTACCACACATAGTACTGTGGTTAACATGGAGACACCATTCTCCTTTAGATGCACACCCAGGAGTGGGATTGCTGGATCATATGTAGTTTTACGTTTAATTTTTTGAGGCCACATGTAACAGATTCTCACCAAAGATTCTTTAGGTGTAATAATCATGATTTCCCATGCCTGGGTTCATTGTGTGTATTTCCCAACTTCTGCTTATTTTCCTGATTGCTGCTGATGACAATATCTAACTAAGTTTTGATTCCCCCCTCCCCCCTTTGGTTTTTCAAGGCAGGATTTCTCTGTATTGCTTTGAAGCCTGTCCTGGAACTCACTCTGTAGACCACGCTGGCCTCAAACTCAACAGAGATCCACCTTCCTCTGCCTCCCAAGTGCTGGGATTAAAGGTGTGCGCCACCAAGGCCCGTCTCTGAATTTTGATTTTTAACCTCCAGAAAACAACCTGACGATGTTCTGGCTGGTGCTGTGAGGCATTTTGATCCCTAGAGTAAGCGACTCTGCACTTACCATCCCTTCTTCATGAAGGTGGACACTGTGTAGACAAGACATTATTGACCTGTACTTGTGAAGAGCTTCTTTATATCACATTATAAAGCTTCAGAGCCTGGTAATGACTCTTTTTTGTGCTGAGGAGTGCAATGACTTTTGCTTTTTTTTGACAGATGCTGGGTTTTCAGCAGCAGACAGAGAGGCCAGTCTGGAGCTTATTAAACTGGACATTTCTAGAACATTTCCTAATCTCTGCATTTTCCAGCAAGTAAGTGGTGGGGATTTGTCACAAATGTTCTCTGTTTAAGTTTTAGGAATGCTGAGCCGCATGTATTTGTAGTTGTGTTTGAAAGGTTAGATAGGGTTTTGGTGGGAAATTAGATGGGTGTCACTGACAGTGCATTTAGATATTTAAATGAGTGTTAACTGGTTCTTATTGATCTTGTATCTGTTTTAAAGGTGATTGGTTCCTTTTGCATGCCAGAGCCTCAGTAGGTAGTGCAGAGGGCTTTATGGGTGGTTGTGTTATCAGAATGTTCCTCATGCTCTTCTGTTTTTAGGACTGTAGGTAGCTGTGTCCTCTTGGTAGGAGCCTCCATGTGATTTCAGGGACCCGCTGAAAGTAGGTCCAGGAAGGAATGCCTCATAGCTTTGGTGTAGCCAGGATGGTTGGCTGAACAGAGGTGGTGGGATTTCTGAGTTGATGAGCCAGGAGGTATGGGAAATGGACTCTTGTTTTTCTGGATGTCGGTGGAGCAAGAGAGGCCTCCCCTCAGTCATTTGGGTACCGACTAGGATGTCTGGCAATAGATCTTAGAATCTTTTCTCAAAGCCTTGTGTTCTTTGAGCCAGGAGATGTACATCCAGAGGTCTCCTTTGAGACCTTTCTCCTGCATGCCAACAGTATCACCAGCTCTCTTCCATAGTATTTCTACACCTTTCCCCTTTGTTTGAGAGCCTAGGCATTCATTGTAGGTCATCATGGCAGCCCCCCATCACCTCTCCTGGCTGTCCTGCCTTCTACTACTCACCTCCTTGCCTGCTGATTAGTATTGGAATTTCCAGTTATGCACCATGATTCCCAGTTTGTTAACATGCCTTATACATGGTGGTTTACTGTGGAAAGGTGGTGTAACAAACCAGAATGAGTAGTTTAAGTGGCTCCAGGATGAACAGGTGCAGAGCATTGAGTTTAGGTGGGCTTGGGAGGAATGTGGTTGGGCTGGACAATCTGACAGCACAGGAGAGTCAGTGTTCCCTTCTGGAGTATGGAGAATCAGAGGTCACAGAGCGAACAGTCTCGTTTGTGTGTGCGCTAGGTTTAATTAATGTAGTCTTTTAGAGAGCATGTACCTGGTAGACACACAATTGGGACAGAAATGTTGGGACCCTGTTCTGTGCAAGAATGAGTGTAGGGGACACAGTTGTCCCTGCAACCTCTTTAGAGGGTTTCTCTTTTCTGGGTGGATGCAGAACTGGTAAAGACTGTTTCGAAGCTAGAGCAGAGTGTGTTGAGGGCAGAGTTCTGGGACTTTGATTTGTGGCTGAGAATCAGGCAACTAGCATGACTTGGCCAGGCATCAGGGGCTAGCCAGCTTCAAGGCCAGCACCAGTCTGAGTACTGAGGTGCTTAGGGAGGGAGAGAGGGTCAAGAGGAGTCTGGGTTCCAGTGGTAGGATTGTTGCTGTCTCAGTGAGTCCACAAAGCAGGGTCCCAATATCTAGATATGGAGGATCTTAATTCAGCTGGAAATGTTTGCATTTGAGTCTTTTGGACTCTTTCAGTCAAGGCAAGGGAAAAAAGTCTATAAACCTGTCCAGAGGTTTGGTCCAGTGTCTAGCCGGGGAGTACTGCCCAGGATTGGTGGCATGTGTGGACTCAGCTGGGCAGCATCTTCAGAATAGTCCTTTCCCTCTTAGAAGGCTTGCCTTTCTCCTCTCAGCACACTTATGTAGGCCTCAGCCCACACCATACCTTGTAGCCCACTCCCTGGTCAATCCTTAGAGGCCTTGTGCTTGCTGAACCTTTCCACCTCAATGGGGTTCCTGTGATTCCATCTCTGAAGGGACTGCTTTATGAAGGGGATTGACTTTGGTCTCAGAGATTTAAGTTTGATTCTGATCAGTTGCCTTCTTGTTAGTAGTTTGGTTTCAGGTAAAACATTTGATCTCTTTGCACCATAATCTGTTCATCTGTGCTTGGGGATGATCCATGCAGACTTAAAGCCTTCTTCAAAGTACTTGACTCACAGAGGGAAGTCATCAGTGCTATACTGACTATTAATTATCTTTGACTGCATTTGAAACTAAGTGACAATGGAATTCACCAAAGACTAAAGACTTTTCACTTCAGGTAGCCCAGAAGTGGGGACATGGTAGTCTTCAGAGGGAGCTCGTGGTGTCTGATCTCTTGACTGCCAGGGACAAGCTTTGTACCCTTTCTCATTGGCAGAAGAAAACCAGAGATTTGAGACAAGGAAGCAAGTGGGACTGAGCATGGCAGGGCAGACTTCCCAGCACATTTCTGGAGGGCCAAACCTCAGGGTCATGGAACCCTAAGAGCCTGTGCAGGTTCTGCAGAGGGAGGTCCAGCTTTGCAATACTGGGTCTGAGAGGGCTTCTCCTGAAACATGGTCTCTAAATGCCGCTTCAGAAATGTGGAAATGGACAGTCCCTTGGTGTTTACCTGGGAGCTGAGGGTGAACTCTATAAAGAGAAGGACGTGGAAGCTCTGTGGTCCTTTCTGGGTAGATTGTTCTTTCAAGATTCTTTTGCGACTTCAGTGGTTTTTAGTCGTGGGAATGGATAATTTTAAATGTGAAGGCTTGGGAGAGAACCTGAGAATCTAGCACAAACAGAGGGCACTCAGGAAAAGAAGCTGGCACCAACATGAGGGGATGGAATGACAAGGTGGAAAATCTTTAAGGAAAGAACAGTATAGTTTTTCTCAGTCTTACATCACATGGAATCTCTTTGCAGTCTCTCTAGTCCTTGAGTCAGCTTGTGGATCTGCCACCATTGTCCCCAGCCCTGTATTTTGTCTCCCCACCCCGATTGTACTTTCTTTATTTGGCTCTTTTTGCTTTGAAAATGTCTCTTTGATATAGGTTTTTAAATAGGTGAGAGCTTAATGGTCTCTTCTGGGAGTTATGGCGTATACCTGTAATTCCTGCATTTGAGAGGCTGAGGCAGGGATTCGGCTATCCTTGGCTATACAGTGAGACCCTATCACCAACCAACCAACCAACCAACCAACCAAATAAAAAAAGAAAGTGTGATCATCTGGTTTCTGTCATTCCTTTGTAAGCCACTCAGAGGCACCTGTGGAGTGACTTCCTAGTCAAGTATGCCAGAAAGAATATTTATTCCTGTGTTATATGAAGGCATGTGGTAGATGAAGGCACCAGGAGCTTCATTTAGGTCCAGCTAGTGTCTCTGGCATACTAACAACAGTGTGGGACAGTTCTGGGTTTATTTCCTTGTTGGAAGAGCAAATGGAAATCTTAGCAGGTAAGATGGTTGGGAGAGACCTTGAAATGAAATGGACTCTACTAGGACCTTTCCAAACCTGCTGTTCGGAAAGATGCAGAGGAAACAGTGATGGGAAGAAGGGAGGCAAGAAGAACCATACTTATGTGGGCACAAGGCTAAGTTTCAGTGGTCTTGTCACTTGCTCTGAGGAGTCTTGGCTTCCTAGCTTACCTACTGAACTTGGAATAGAACATGATTCTGTAACATGAGCCAAAGGAAGGACATTTCTCGAGGGTACTGCTCACAGCTGACCCTTTGGCTTTTTTTTCTAGAGTAGCTTCATAGACAGAACTGCAGATTTCTCATTAACAAAGTTACTAGCTCATTTATTAAATTGCATAATGCATCTAGAGCTGCTCAGCAAAGTCCCTCCTGTATGATCAGCAGGGTGACGATGGAGGCAGCAGCAGCAGCGATATTAGATGCTATTCTAAGACTAACAGTACTTATGCATGTGTTGATTTTGGTATGTCAATCCTTTTAGGGTGGTCCATATCATGACATGTTGCACAGTATTTTGGGCGCTTATACTTGTTACCGGCCGGATGTGGGTTATGTAAGTGATACTTTCCAGTTTTTTATGATGTTATAGTCTATAAAGAAAGTCAAAACATTGCCAAGCTCTCCTATTGAATGCTATTGTGGCCTTTTGAAGAATATGAAACATCTTGAGATAAATGGGTTAATTTAGTTTCCTTGGAGAAATTGGCTTGACATAGCTGCTCTGTGGCATTCATCACATTTTAACTATGTGTGATGTTTATTTTTGCATGTGATTTATCCATGAAACTAAATAGAAAGGCTTTATTTACCATTAACCATTTTTCAAAAGTGTGCTGCTGCTTTACCTGTGGCTAGACAGATGTGTATGTGTGCATGGCCTTACTTAAGCCTGCTAAGTTCATACATGTGACCACAAACCAGCATGGCACATACCAGATGGCATTATTTCAGATGTCAGAGGCAATAAGTGGGGTTGGCTTATGATTTTCCATTAGAAGGGGTAGGGGATGGAGGGGGAGAGCAGGTGGCTGATAGGCAGAGCTGTGGCTCTGAGGAGGGTGGGTCTGATCTAACAGGGTTTATTTTGGGAGTGGATGGGTGGCTGTGAGGGCCTTTTTAGTGGGAAGATGTTTTGGTTTCTCTTAATAAGTAAAAGCTGCTCTGACCTTTGTGGCCACATTAGTTAACATACCCTTTCTCTCCTTCCTCAGGTTCAGGGCATGTCCTTTATAGCTGCAGTGTTGATCTTGAACCTAGATACTGCAGATGCCTTTATTGCTTTTTCTAACCTTTTGAATAAACCATGTCAAATGGCATTTTTCCGAGTGGACCATGGCCTTGTGAGTATGCTCTGTGTATGTCCCAGTACTATGTCTTTATGCAGCAAGAATTACCCAATCATTCTGTCGTTCCAAGGCAGGAAATGCATAATGGACTTTTTATAATTAAAACACATGAACTTAAGTATAGACACATATAGTCCATTGCCCCTTGTATGAACAGATGGATACATTCTCCTAGAGAGACAGTGTGTCTGAAACACTGTACTTTTTCAATGGAGGTGGAGTGTGAGTTCTTTGCAAGTATATGCACTTTGTGTTAGGGAGATGTGACAGCAGTGCCCTCCTTAGTTGAATAGAATACCCGAGGGCTGATGTGTGGTGCTGCTCACTGTCTCCGTGGGACTGGTCTGTGCAACACACACGGATACAGGGGGAAGGAGATCTGCTCCTGACCATGTTCCCTTACTTCCATAAGGCAGTGGTTTAGTGTGCTGTGGAGTGGCCTTTACCATTGGTGGCCTTTAAGAGACCCCCGCATACTTCACATCTGAGTCCCCTGCATAGTCCAGATGTGGGAACAGACCTAGGAGGGAAGTGTCTTGTCTAAGACATTTCTGGTACGTGGGAGAGCTGTGGTTTGAATCCATTCTGGGTCCTAAACTTTGTTTTTACTGGGAGAAATTTGCTAATCCATTAGCTTTTAAGTTGGTGTTGCTTTGATATCCTGGTTATTAACACTAGTCTATCAATACCTCAACTATCTGATGGTGTATGTCTGCTTGGAGCCCTTCTTCCTTAAATGTCTTCAGGATCCTAGTAGTCTTTGTTCTGAGAATGCTGCTCGCTCTGGCTGTTAGGGGAATGTCAGCTACTGGGGTCCTTCAGGAAGATTATTTGGTATTCCATTTCTGTAGCTCAAAATGGCTTTGGTACATAGTTCTTGTAAGAATTGGTTCTAAGGCCATGTGGTGGTAGCATATGCCTTTAATCCTAGCACTTGGGAGGCAGAGATAGGTGGATCTCATTGAGTTTGAGGGCAGCCTGGTCTACAGAGAAAGTTTCAGGACAGCCAGGATTACACAGAGAAATCCTGTCTGGAAAAACAAAACAAAGCAAAAAATAAGACCAAAAAAAAAAAAAAAAAAAAAAAAGTATTGTGGACAAAGCAGTATGTATAAATATTATAGAGATTGTTATTATATAATTATTTGTAATTGTAAATATGAAAAGGGTTTGAAATGGGGGGGTTTGAAATGGGGGGGGAAATGAAATCTGCCAGACCCTGAGTGCAGCAGTGGCTCACTGCTGTGTCAGGAGTGTGGGGTAGACCCTAGTGCGGCAGTCACTGTGTAACCCTGCTAAACAGGGAGTGTACCTCAGAGCAGTAGCACTTATTTATGGACAGGCACTTCATGAATAGTATTTTCGTCATTTTGTTTTCTATTTTGAGGCTTGCTCTTACTGTGTAGCCTGCCCAAGCTGGCCTTAAAGTCCTGGCCATAAACCCCTGCCGTAGCCTCCTAACTGCTAGGATTGCAGGGTGAATCACAGGCCTGGCTTTGTTGCTTCTATGCCAAGTTGTCTTCACTGAGCAGTATAGGGACTCTCATAAGCAGGTAAGAATTTTCCAAGATAAGAGTGAAGTCTTTAGGAGAGATTCTCACCCTTGAACGGCTTGTTGCTACTAACATACTGACTTTATGTTGCCTATGTATTAGTCCTAAGAAGTAGTTCCTGAATGTCAACTTAAATTCGCTTTGTTTTGGAACAAGGTCTTAACCGATAACCCAGCTGGCCCTGAATTCATAAGCCTCCTGACTGCTGGGGTTATATTTGTGTGCCACCATGCTGAGCTTTAATTTTCTCTTTCTATTGATAGAAAGATGGTATCTGTCTCTGCTAATTGTGAAGACCCCAGCTTTCTGTCTTTAACATGGAGTGAGGGGTGGGAGAAGCAGCATTGTAGTGTTGAGTGGGACCTTTGCTCTGGGCAGCACTGACAAGCTTTAGGCCAGATGCGTGCTGTAGGTGTTCCTACTCATTGGAGGCCTCTACACACTAACGTCCCTAGACATTGCCTCATGCCCTGTGGTCCCCAGTGTAGTCCCTTCATGAACATGAGTAAAAGAAGTCAGGGTTGGTTCTGCCTTGGCACTTGGTGGATTATCGGTAGAGCGGACTCGCCACCCCCAGGCATGCCTGCTCCCATGCAGCAGGAGCCCTCCTCCCTTCATATTGACTGCTTCATGCTGTCTGCCCTCCCACCCTGCTTCCTTTCTCTTCTCACAATGCTTGTAAGAACCTGGCCTGTTGCTGCCTCCTCCTTGCAGCATCTTCGTTTGCTGTGGTCAAAGGCCTACATGTTGGAGCTGGAGCTGTGCTGCCCTTCCCTCAGACTTTAGTCTTGTCTCCTCCTCTGTGAATGTGCTAGGCATGGGCAGCAGGCAGCTTGCTTTTTCAGGTTACCTTTCACAGTGTGGCTGCAACCTTCATAGCACTACAGGCCGTGGTTCAAGTCCCAGCTCTACCATGTACCGGTACTTTGCCCTTGTATGGCAAGTTAAGCAATTGCTCTGGGTTTCAGTGTCTTCCCCTGTAACTTGAAGAAATGATAGGGTGTGAACAGAACTGCCATGAAAAGCTTAGAGATAGTATTGTGCTTATCTACATGTTACCTAACCTACCTGAATAACAATTATTAGATTCCAAGTGCGCAAAATTCTTGACTCCTGTGGGTTGGAAACTCATGCTGATAATTAGTTTACTAGTGTATTTAACATTGTCTCCCTAGATGTTGACTTACTTTGCTGCATTTGAGGTATTCTTTGAAGAAAACTTGCCGAAATTGTTTGCACATTTCAAGAAAAACAACTTAACTGCAGACATCTACCTAATTGATTGGTAAGACTCCGCTTTCTTGCTTTCCAGAGCACTTCTCATCCCTTGCCCATTTTCCCGTTGTCACTGTCACTTTCTTGGAGGACTCAGCTGAGTCTCCTTGTCCTCTTCCCAGCTCCCCTCTGCCTTGAATGCCTACTTATTTTCCAGGCTCTTTGTCACAATATGTGACTTGACTGACCTTCTAGATTCCATCGATAGACAGTGTATTAGACCTTCTGTTTTTAAGGCGCTATTGCCAGTCCATTAAGTGAGATGTCTCTGGGCAGCAAGTGCATGCCAAACCTTTTACAATAAGTCCACAGGTATAATACAGGAGCTTGAGTAAGTGTGGGAGGGAGAAGCAGCATGCGAGTTTCAGAACTGTAGTCACTGTGATGCCCTGTAGAAGAGACTGAGATAGAAGGGGAGAGAGGAGGCGATAGACCCCAACCTAGAGTGATGAAGGTGTGGGAAACAGCATGTTGGGGCCTGTACCAGAGCACGGCAGCTGGGCTAGTGGCATTAGGGGGCAACATAAAAGGCTGATGTTAGAAGGGTGGGGAGTTTTGGAAACCAGAACATCTGGGTCTCAGAGGCTAAGCTGTGGGCCACAGGAAATGATTGACAGCCTGTGCTTGTTGGATAAGTCAGCTCTAAGCAACTTGGGAGGCAGGAGCTCCTGGGTGACAGCTCAATGAAGGAAAGCAAGGGCTGATGGAGATTAGGGAAAGGAGTCCTTGGCAGATGCTAGGAATGTATTGTGGACTTGCCAGAGGATCGTGGTGTTTGTGATAATACCGATGAGGGATTGCTGGTGTCAGTGGCTGAAACACAGAGTGACAGATTTGACTTTGAGCATGAAGATTTTATGGGAGATCTAAATAGAAGTTTGCTGAGACCTGTAAGTAGGAGGCTCCTGAATTATGAAATGGAGCATCAGTTACATCTTTGCACAGAAGTAGTTGTGGTCATAAGGAGAGAGGGTGGCTGTCACCTTCAAGTGCACCAGGTTAAGGGCCAGGTAAGGGACCTGGCGACCTGAGTGCTGCAAGGAACAGTTGTCCTGTGGTGGGAGAGTGTGCCTCAGGACCCCTGTGCCCCACCAGGCATGATGTACCGTGTTATGGTATACAAGGGCCAGGGAACCCCTCTAATTGTGCTCCTTCAGAGAACATGATAATCGACTGTTTAAGGCATTTCAGGGTGACTACTCTGTCTTGGAGAAGGGGCTTTTTGGGGGAGAAATATCATTTGGTCAAAAGGCCTATCTGAACTGCAACACTACCCCAGAGAGGTAAAATGAGCTCCTCAGCCACCCTGAACAGAGAACTGGCTGGTTTGGGTTTCTCCTCACCTTCTTCTTCAGGAAGCAAGAGGACTTCTAGATGATAAATAAGAACTGTCCAAGCCTAGGCCAAATCACTTAGAGAAGCCCTGGCTACATCCTTGGAATGAGTGTCAGATATCCATTGTGTTGCTTCTGCCTTAACCTGGTGACTGGTTCAGCTGACTGCATGTATGAAGGTTTGGACTTATAGCTGAAGTCGCTGGAGCTGATGTTGTAGAATGTAAGCACCAGGCTTGGATGGGCCTGTCCTATCTGCTTGTGCTACATATAAATGTTTGGAATATCCTTTTAAAGGGGTACCTTTGTTTAACAAATGATTTTTGTCCTCCCCATGAACAGATGGCTCCTTGCCACCCTGAGTTTTGTATCTACATTCGACTGTCAACTCTGAACCCTTGGATGTCCCTTGCTTAGAGCCCAGAACAAGAGGTTATTGGGAGGCAGACCCTCCCAACAGCTAGAGAGCCTAGACATCTGCCTGGTCCTGTTGAAGCCTTCCACAGGAATTTTAGATTCTAGGCTAGATTCTTTTTTCACCGTGGATTAGAAAACGCTACATGTTATGTGGTAACACAGTAGAACATTAACTTGTTTATACTGGGACAGAGGCTCTATGAAGTAGAATCACCATGACAATATGGAGAATGTTCTGAAATGTTCTATTGGTGATGGTCTACTCTCACTGACTTGGAGTCTGATGATGGTCCTGAAAGCTGTGGCCTGAAGGGCCTGAAGAGCTTTGTTCCTGTCCCAGCCAGCAGGGCTGTGAGTCTAGAGTGTCCACAAGGAAAGGAAGCTCTGTGGGGTTTTGTTCCGAGTCCTTTATGCCATGATGTGGTTGATGCCCAAGCCTTCTGAGTACTGTTCTTCTCTGAGGGCCTGCAGGGTGGCTTGTTCTGCATATGATGATGTTGCTTTTTGGAGTAAGGGTCAAGTAGGGAGTCCTGCTGCATGTGTGGTCTCATTACAGGGCCAGGCACACGGGAAGGTTCTAGAAGTGCTGCGCTAAAGTTGAACTGAGTTGAGGGAGTGCCTTCTCCTGATTGTCATTACTCTGTCTGTTAATGGTCTGCAGTAAGTCTGGCTCTTGATAGTTGATGATGGTCAGGGGAAGCCTCAGTCACTAGAGGCTGCATGTGGAAATACCCATTGCTTTGTCTCTGAAGTTTTATCACCCCGTGTCACCCTCTAGTGTGCTTACTGTGTAGTGTGACTCCATGGCCTTGCTCCTTTTGTGTCTTGCCACCTCCTCAAGCCACATCTACCCTTAAAATTACTGGGCCTGCCTTGAATCGTGTTCATGTGGCCTGCACATTGCATAGTGTGTGAGACGCGTCCAGCCCCAGGGATCAAGTGACTGTTTGAGCTGCCTCCTCTTCTGTGTGGCTCCATGGGTGCTCAGACATGGCTGCAAGGGTGAGCAGACACCTGGATGCTCTACTGTCTACCTTCCTCCAACACCACCCATGCACTCATACTCCCTCTCAGAGCCTCATGGTTCACTTCTATTTCCTCAAGGCCTGGTCCCATCCTTGGTTCAAGTCCTAGGCAGGACAAGGACATTTCTGTTTCCAAGGGTCCCTTTAGGTGCTAGTGACCTAAAGCCAATTGCCCACTTGTTCTGCTGCACATGCTCCTCCCCTTATAGCCCTGCGGGACAGTGCTTCATGAAGAAAGCCCTCCAGAGCTCTTGTTTAGCTGTGGGCTGTCTGCCTCTCTGCTGTGGACTTGAAGATCAGGGAAATGGCCTGTCAGCCATCTTCATTTCCTATGGTGTATTGAGTGTTCCAACTATCAAGGATCTAGATGTTATATGGGAGCTGATCAGAGGTAGTTTAACTTCCCAAAAGATGTCTCCCTTTTATCCAATGGCACAGTTTTTTGAGGATGTGAGTAAGTTTCCTGACAATAATCTTGAGCTAGCCAAAAGACCTAGCCAAGTGCTACATATATGGTGATGCTTTGAGATGAAGAGCTGTCACGTGGGGTTTCTCCTTGTGGGGCAGGAAATGGCTGTCAGTGATTTGGGTTCCCATTGTATTCTGTACTAAGTTCATTCTTGGGTCTCACCTTCTGGGCACTGAATCTTCCCTAGGACACCTTGAAGGTAGGTAACATTGAAGAGAGAGAGAGACAGAGACACAGAGAGAGATAGAGAGAGGAGAAGAGGAGGGGAGAGGAGGGGAACAGAGAGGAGGAGAGAAGGAGAGAGAGAGCAAGACTGAGAGAGAGCCTTCCAGCATCCTCTGGAAGCGTGCTGGCTAACTGGCCTTGAGTATGGTAGAAGGAAGCCGCAGCAACACTGGCATACAGCTTGTTTGAGTACAGGGCTTACTGTTACCTCTTGGGTGCTGGACCAGAGAGGATGCCGCTGACTCAGGGAAGGGCTTGCAACAGAAAGTGCTTTTCTTACTGTTCTTAGGATGAGGAATATTTCTGGATACAGTGCCTGAATTTGAACTAAATCTAGGTAGCTACCTTGGCTTTGCCTGTAGGCAAGTCTATACTGGGAGTTGGCTGCCTTAGGCCCATGGGTTCTTAACTTGCACCCTTGTTCTACCTGTCCCTGATTTTCCTAGAAACATGGGGGACTGGGTAGGATAGTAGCTGAGGGTGCTCCTGAACCAGCGGTGGGTGAAAGGCTCATTTCTAGTCAGGTTGAGGAAGTTGGGACACAGCCAGAAGTTGGTGCCATGGCCCGTAGATTCAAGTCATTAGCCATAGGTTCTGTATGGGTAAGGGTGTTAGGTGACATTTCCCCCACACTAAGCTGTGACAGGTTTCTACCATGTCCTTTGTTTTTAGTATCGTCATCTGCCAAGTGGAGATGAGACTGCCTTCTTTTGGGGTTGTATTAAGGAGGCATGCCCCATGGAAGAGCAAGAGTGGCCCTGGGTTGCTGTTTGCAGCCTGGGGGCTGCTCACATGTAGCCCAGGGTCTGTCTGTAAGGTGCACTGACTCACTGGGTGTCTGTCCTGGAGCTTCCATTCTTTTCATAGCTAACCCAATGATTAGGCTGCCCATGGGTAGATAAAAATATTTCTGGGAATAGTGAAGGCTCTGCAGGAAAGATTATCCCTTCTGTCCACATGTGTTAGAGAGAAATGGATGCTCACATTGCTGTCTTGAAAGCCCATGACACTGGAGCAGTAGCACAGAAATGTATTGCTTTGCAGTAGTTGCACTCAGCCCTGAAAGTGCCTGGCTTAATATTTTGTTCAGTATTTGAGGGGCCTGCGGGAGGGAGCAAAGAAACATTTCTTCTTGAATTCTGCCTTCCTACTGTGGTAGGGACAGCAAAAGGGCATGGGAAACCCAAGGGCCTTCACTGTCCACCCTACTTCTGAACATAGTCACTGGCTAGGAGCAGGATGGAGCCTTAAGTCATAGAGAAGATGTGAATTTGGGCTCTAAGATGTGGAAAAGCTATGTGCATATATCAGTCCCCCTATTCCATCCAGTTGTGTGGGGCCAGGGCCAACCTGGCATCAACTCCTGGCCTGTGGCTGAGCCAAGTGGCTCACCAGCCCATGGACCCATGGATCCATGGATGTGCTGCCCAGCTCTTTTTTTTTTTTTTTTTTTTTTTTTTTTTTTTATACTTTTGAGTCTAAATGTGGTTTGAAATCTAGTTAAGCATTTGCAGTCTCCTGATAATAAAGGGAAGAGAAGAGAGTGGTGCAAGCATTTGAGCTGGGAGAAGGGAATATACATGAAGGGACTGCCGAGAACTGAAGGTCTGAGTCCTAGAGTCACTTGCAGCCAAGAGCAGAGGACAGGAGGAGTTTAGTCACAGCTGCGTCCTCTCAGAGGAAGCCCATGCTCTGATGGCTCTAGGCGCCTCCTGAGCAGAGGGACATTTGGAAGCATGTTACTGAGATGCCTAAAGAAGTGAAGGTATGAAAGGCACAGAAGAATAACTCAGTATTAATAACAGCAGAGCCCCTCCTTGCCAGCAATGTACTGTCTCTGTGAGAACTGCGGCTGCTCTGGATGACAGCTAGCAAAGAGATACATGAGATAGAATGTGAACATTGACAGAAAACACTTGGTTATGGCTGTGTGAAGACATGGGGAGGGGCAGGCCTTCTACAGGCAGGGGAAAGGTCTCAGAAGAAACTGGGCATCCCTGCTTATTATACCTTGATCTCATGAAGACATCGAATTGTGACGAAATAGATGTCCAATTTAAGCCCCAAACAAAACAACAAACCAACAGGAAGATTCGTCTACCCTGAGAGTCAGAAATGGCCTCCTGAGAAGGCACATAAATATAAAGGTGATATAATATTGTAAGCCATAATCATTTGTACTCTTTTTTAGAACAAAGAGTGGTTGTTAACAGTGAGGTCAGGTAGACTCTTCTATGTGCAGTGCAGGCTGGAGAGCAGTTTGATAGCCTTCACTTTCTGATCCTGGTTGTCTTTTCTTGGCTTGGTGCTTTCTACACAGACTGTCTGCACAGCTATGACGCTGGCACAGAACTTCCCTTTAACTGACAGTCAATACATGTATCACCTGAATGTCTCAAACTCAGAGTATAAAATGACGGTTTCATCCTTCGGGTGGCTCAGCCAGTGACCTGATGTCTTGGGTTTCTCCTTTGCTTCCCATAACTGTCCAGGTCATACCTGATTTGGGCCAACTCCCCTGCTCCCTCTCTGCTCCATGACTGCAGCTATCTGGGTCGTCTGCCCAGCCTGCATCCCCTCCAGGAGCTGTCAGCTTGCTGCTTCCTTGGACTCTCAGTTCACTGAGAACAAAGTCCAGAGCCTAAAGAACAGTCTTGCAGGCCTTGCTTGTCTGTGCCCTTGTTCTTCGCAGACAGCCTTTTCTCCAGTATCTGGTTTGCTTCATCAACTGCTGGCATGATTCATCATCATGCAGCCCTCAGACATGTAGTTGTCATGAACTCTGCTGCAGGTGTGGGGAAAATCTTGGCGCTCCTCTCCTGGCTGCCTGCTTCCTCTTCAGGGTGGATGGAATTGCCTCTCCTCAGCAGTATGTTCTTCCCTGATCATCTGATGTAGAAGAGCATTTGCATGCATTCATCCCTCTCTGTGTGCATAATGAATATCCCCCCTCCTGACACCCCATCTGTCTGTGTTTGTCCCTTATGTTCCTGAGCTGTCTATTCAACACTTTGTATCTTCATCATCAATGGGTAGCAAGTAGCATACAGAAGGCTTCAAAAAAGTTTGTATGACCTAGGACTCTGAGACTTGACACAGGAGGATGGCAAGTTTGAGGCCATCCTTGTCTATTGTTTTCTTCTTAAAGATGCCAATGGGCTGGAGAGATTGCTCAATGGTTAAGAGCACACTCTACTTTTCCAGAGGACCCAAGTTTGGTTCCCAGCATCCACGTCAGGTGTTCACAACCACTTGTAACTCTAATTCTAAAGGGACCGTGATGCCTCTGGCTTCCACTCATGTGCACATACTCACACATACACACATATTTTAAAATATTAAAAATGTATCTTGGTAGAAAAAAGAAAAAGATGCCCGACCTGAGCTTTTTAGAATCAGAAGGGATTGGTATCACAGCCATCCTTCTAGAAACATGGCCTTGCTATTTATCCCTTTGCTATCTCATACCTGCCTAAAGAAGTTAATGGAGATCCACATGCAAATCTGAATTCAGTGGTTTTACGCTATGTGGGAAAAAGAAAAGAATCAAGTTTACGTCATGGCTTTGGAGTAAAAACATGGGGGATCTTTTTTGTTGATCTTGTTGGCCCCGTCAGTCTTTAAGGAGATGGGAGACATGGTTCCCATGTGTGTACTGGGGTTTGCGTGTGGGAGGTTGTGGGCTAGGTTTCTACGCTTTCATTTTTGTTGTTTTTATAGAGTGTTGCTCTATAACCCTGGTCTGAACTCATTGTCCCCCTGCCACAGCCTCCCCAGGACTGGAGTTACACATGTGCACTGCCATGCCCAGACTTGTCACTTTATAACACTAAACAGAGCTCTAGCTCTGAACCTGCATGGTGACATAGCCCCAATCCAGGTTAGAAGTGCTTGACCCCAGAGCACAGGCATTATTCCAGCATAGTTGTTAGGTAGTTTGTATGTGAGTGCCTGCACATGGACAAGCCAGAGGTCAGCTCCAGGGGTCATTCCTCAGAAACCATTCAGTTCATTTTTAAGGACAGGGCTTCTCATTGTCCTGGAGCTGTCAAGTAGGCTGGCCAGACTTCCCTGTGAGCCCCAAGGATTTGTCTTTGCTACCCAAACTCTGAGATTACAAGTGCATGCCATTGCACCTGGGTGCTTTGTGTCAAATTCAGCTCCTTACTTTACTACGGTGTTATTTCACCAGCTCTCAAATAGATTTTTAAGAGAATACCTTTCATCTGATGGTTTTATTATTGAAGTATAAGGTCGGTTTTTAATAATCTACAGTCAAGATTTATCAAGAAAGCCAGGCATAGTGGCATACACCTATATCCCTTCACTCAGAGGTTGTTATGAATTCCAAGCCAGCATAATCTCCTACATAACTAGATTCTGTCTCAAAAGCCAAACAATGACAACAGAAAAATTTACACCTTGCTGCATTGCTGACCCCCTGCAAGGAGAATAAGGAATAGTATACTCTCTCCTCTCTGTTCTCGTTCCCTGGCTGACTCCAAGCTCTACTAAGGTATGTGATTGCTAGACATCTGCTCCAAGTAGGAATTATCCAGTATCCGTGATCCAGAAGTTGTGTAGTGCTGTTTTGTGTGAAATGTAAATTGGCCTTCAGGGTGAATGCAGGCCAGTGTTGTCCACAGTGTGTAAAAGTCAGGGACCCAGGGTGTTGTGCATGCCTTATGCCATTCCAAACTTAAAAGTTCTATCTCTCCCCCAGGATCTTCACCTTGTACAGTAAGTCCCTGCCCTTGGACCTTGCCTGCCGCATCTGGGATGTGTTCTGTCGAGATGGGGAGGAATTTCTCTTCCGCACAGCTCTGGGCATCCTGAAGCTATTTGAGGATATCCTGACGAGGATGGACTTCATCCACAGTGCCCAGTTTCTGACGAGGCTGCCTGAGGACCTGCCAGCAGATGAGGTGTTTGCAGCCATCTCCACAGTCCAGATGCAGAGCCGGAACAAGAAATGGGCACAGGTAAGCGGGTATGTGGCACAGCTGTGAGACTGAAGCAATGTGCTGCTCAATGGGCCTTTTAAAAAGAGGGCTGTCTTTGGAAATGGTGCCCAGACTGAAGGTATATGGCCTGGCTCATGTCTGGGTTTCAGATAGCTGGAGGAATGTGTGTAGGAAGACCCCCCCCCCCCATTCTGTATTGTCAGCACTTCCAGGTCACCTCTGTAGGACTCCACCAGAAAAGTCCCCTCCTCCCTAACCTGTTTTCTTTTTTAATTGTTATTATTTTATTGCTTTCCGTGTGTAAGACTATATGAGAGAGGGGCAGTGCATGTGCCACAGTGAGAGTATGTAGGTCAGCAGACAACTCATGGAAATTGATTCTCTTCTCCTACTTTGCGAGTCCCAGCACTGAATGCAGATCTTTGGGCTTGGTGGCAATTACTTTTACCCACTGGAGCTGTCTCAACAACCTGAGTCATTGCTTGAGGTGATGGCTTGGTGCGGTTGACTTGCATGCTTTATGTGGGTGAATTGCCTATGAATTATAGTTCAGCAAAGCAATTAAAAAGGTATACTCAGTTCACATGAGAACAGAACTGACTGTGCTGTCATCAGGGTTCCGGAGGCAGAAAGAGGGCCTTTTTTTTTTTTTTTTTTTTTTTTTTTTTTTTGACTAATAAACAAAGAAAAGTATGAATAGAAACATGGACCTAGTTCTAAAGTTACTGAAAATTTCAAGATGGTGGCAACATCGTGAAGCTAAGGAGAGTCCCTTTGAAATCTGGGTGGGGCCTGTGTGAAGGTTTTTGGAATCTGCCAGACCATTGCTTATAGTGGCTTTTGATGGTGGCAGTCTGGCCTCATAGAGTGCTTTGCTTGGCATGCAGCAGGTGTTCTGGAATGTAGCCTTTGGTTGTTATTACTGCCTCCTAAAGGTAGGATGCTCCTTAAAGTGTCAACCAAGAGCTGGGAGAGCACAGAACAGTCACTTCACAACCTTGTCACAACTCTGTCTGGCCAACTTCCTGATGAAAGGGACTGGCTATATCAGCACCATGGGAGAGGGGAGCTTGTTAGTGCCCTGGGGGAACCCTGGGCCTCAGTGCTATATTCAGGGGCTAGCCAGTAGCTCAGAGGACAGGCATGTACTGGGGTGGGATAGGTGTGTTAGATGCATGCTGCTTTTCTACTGTTTTTGTGAGATTCTGAGGTCAGTGAGGCCTGTGGGGCTAACCATAGCTGTCTTCTCTGTGATTCTAGGTGCTGTCTGCGCTACAGAAAGACAGCAGGGAAATGGAAAAAGGAAGCCCATCCCTCAGACACTGAGGCTCGGGGTAACGCCCACTTGGCACTGAAGCACAGCTCCACACGTCACCTGTGTGCTTTCAGACTGAAGCCTGAGAAGAACAGGGGCTCTTTCCATGTTGGATTTCTAATGCTGAAGTTGGCCTTAAAACAAAATAGCTCTTAAAGAATTACATCCAGGCTTAGCCTTAAGCAGCTCAGTGGACCCATGCGCTGGCATTGGTCATGGCTAGTCACTGCATTTTCCACATGGGCTCGAGAAAAGGCAGGCTGTCTCCTTGCTCCTTTATTCCAGCAGCAGTTAATTAAATTATGATGCCAATATGCCAACTACTGGAAGGTACATTACAATCTTTCTTAGCCAAGATGCATGAGAAATATTATTAGGAGACCTCAGAGATGTTATTGGTTCATATGTTGGATAAGAAAGGAATTATTTAGTTACTGAGATGAAGGGTATGTTTTAAATCACCCTACTAAGGAAGGTGTAAGGAAGATAGAGCCTGTAGAGTAGTTGCTGGTGAATGTTCTTAGGCTCCTGAAAATTCACTTAACTTCTGTATTGACACTTGACCCTGTTGCCTTGGCACATGACAGCAGGAAGGCTGAGAGTTCACATTAGGACCCCACTCTCTAAAGTAGCTCTCATTGCATCTTGGGAACCATGGTGGTTGGAGCAGGGGAGCCACATGCTGAGAAGGGATAGAGATGGGCTCTGTAAAGAAAGGGGTGGGAAGAGACTGCAAAATTTACTCTTCTCTTACCTGCTTGCTTCTGAGCAGCTGGGCGTGGCAGCCTCTGAAAACACTATTATGTGGGAGCCGGTTTCCTTGCTTTAGTTGAATGTCCCTTTTGGCCTTTGTCACCCTAGTAGCTGGACCTCTTCTAAGTGCCAGTGATTCTCTCCCGCCCCCGTCTGGCTTTATAAAATAAGCTTCACACACTGCTGTGAGCACCAAGGAGTAAGGCAGTCTTCCAGATTCTCAGTGTCCTCAGCCCTTCTCCATTCCAGCTGGTTTCTCAAGCTCAGTGGTGAGATTCTTACTGTTGTACCTTTTCCTTGACTTGGGAACTTTGTATAAGTAATTTGATTATCCAAATTCACAGAAATGAGTAGTTTTTACATAGAATAATACAAAGGACATCCAGTAGCTGTGGAAATTGATTACCTCCTGATAATCCACTGGCATTCTTGTTCCTGGGGGTACAGGTAAGCCAGGGTTGAGAACATTTTTCAGCAAATGCCTGCGTGATCTGTAGTTCACAGCCCACTGCAACCAAACCTGCTACCCCCAGAAATCATCCTCTCCATTGTTGTAGTTTCTGACAGCCACTGGGGAGCCCTTGACTGACTACGGCATGTGGCATGGGGTCAGCCTCATGACAGTGTGTTTGCATGGGTTCCCTTCATCTGTGTGCTTGTTGGCGATAGTCCAGTGCATCAGCAGGCTGTCATATTCATGCCATTCACCATTCTGCCACTCTTCTTTTTTCCTGGAGTCTCATTGTAATCCCATGGCTTCTCCCGGGAGGCTGCAGAGCACCCTCCAAATAGCTCTCTGCCTTAGTGTGAAAGGCTGATGTCTGACCTCTTGGAGGAGGATGTCTTTTCACCAGCCATCCAATGGCCTCCAGATCCAGCCATTCTTGACATCAGATGCTGAATGTAGCCCAGGGCCAGCCGGCCTGTGAGAAGCGGACTACCCGATCCTGTCTGCTGTCGTTCTTGCAGATGTACTTAGTTTTATTCCATGACATGGGCATCTGTTCTCTCAAGATGTATATATTTTCTTACTGTACATAAAGACATTCCTTAAGTCATACAGAAAGTTTGTGACAAGGGGACTTGGGCATCTTGTTGTGAATGCCATTGTGGAATTCTCTGTGTGTTCACAACCCAGCTCTTAACTTTTCTTGTTCGACATAATCTGTGGGCATGCATGAAGTTCTCAAACAAGACTCCATGCCAGCCGAGCACTGACTGATCTCCAAACAGGGTTTTCATAGCCTGTTTGTGTGAGCCTGATGTGCCCTCCTTAGAGCCTATGTAGTTCCAAGTTCCTCTACTCTGAGGGCATCTCTCATACTCCTTGCTGTTTGGGCAAACTGGAAACAGACCCTGCAGAAGTCTGCACCTCCCACCTCAATTGTAGTTGACTTTCAGTCCCAAACTTGAGGGTGCTGGGCAGCTCTCACTCTAGAGGGAGCTTGCAGAGAGGCTTCCTGTCACCTTGGGAGCAGTGCTCACTTCAAAGCTACTTCTAATTGTTCAGTTTGTGACTATTTTTAAACAGTTTGCCAATAGGAAACTCCTGATAACACTTGCTACATATCATGTTTTAATTGCTTGTACAGTTAACCTTTAATTTTATTTAGTAAAGTGTATCAAACTAGGACTTTTTGAATTGTAAATATGTGGTTTTGTTAAAATAAAGTCATGTAAAATTGTTACTTATGTTCATTGTTACTTTGGTGTAAAGCTGACATTCTTGCTTTGAAGTGTAGCAGAAAGTATTTTAACTCAGGACTTGGAAGACACAAAGCAGGGCAGTTACTTTTTCCTCAGAGGGTTCCAGAGTTCAGATGTCCTCTTCCAGTTGCTGGGGTTCCCAGCTGTGTGTGCTGCATGCGTTTCCCTGAAGCCTGTTGCCTTGACCTCCCCCATGAGAGCAGACAACCACATTTGTTTACTCTGTGCTAGCTGCTGAGCCATGCAAGGCTCTTCATACTCTGGAGCTTTCCTAGAGCCTATAAACCTGAGGGCCCAGGGGGTGAGCTCCTTCCTGTGAGTCACTAAGGAAAAGTGACTGTGTGTAGTAGGGTCCCCAAGCTACTTGGACCAGACAGGACAAATGCTTGTGTATGTCACTCCCCATTCGGTCCCCCACTGCTGTCACCGCCACCCAAGACTGCCGGGAGATTTGATTGCCCAATGTGTTATAGTCTCCAGCAGGACTTGCCTTCCCATCTAAACCAATGGCTTCGTTCTCTGAACCATTGTTTTTTGCAGGCGGTGAGGTGATAGACTCGGTTGCTGAGGTGTGGCTGCCTGCTCCAGCAACACCAGGCTGTGGATCAAGTGTTATACATGGATTACTAATCTCCACAGCAACCCCGTGTAAGAGACTCATTGTTCCCATTCCAAGAAAATGCTTGCTGCAGCTCCTGGGGCAGATGCACAGCTGGTATCCATGCTGGCTCCTGCATGACTCTTGGAGAGATCATGCTTGCTTTGGACCTTTAGCAACCCAAACACAGGGCTGGTTGTGACCTAGATTCCTCATTCCTTTCAGTACTTCCAGTATGCATTGCAGGATGCCTTCAATGTGGGCCAGCAGTTAAAGCCTGCCCATTATGAGCATGTCTGAAGAGGGGAGGGACTGTTGTGCTCACGTCTAGCAGCAGGAGGAAAGTGACATTGCTGAACCTTGAGCAGAGCTTTCAGGTGGACAGGAGCAAGGGCCTGCCCAGCAGAGGGCAGCCTTAGAGCCCAAGATTACTTGTTAAAGGGGACCTCATCAAGACCTGGGAGTGTTTGCACTTGAGTGGAAACGAGTAGGTATGCTTTGTGTGGGACTAAATATGCTATGAAATACTTGATGTTATTCAGGCTTGCTGAGTAACATGGGACATGGCCATGACATAGTGTGTATGTATCTCTTCTGTCAGCAAACACCCACTGCTAGCTCATTCTGGAATGATGTGTTGCTCTTCTTCCCCCAGGATTCCTGTTTTGTATGGCATGAGGGAACCACCTTCTCTTCAAATACCTTCTTGATCCTGTTCTAGAGTTTCAGTAAATACTACTACTAACCAGGAATAAACCCAGACTGCAGATAGCTTGGCTAGATAGAGGGCAGGACCAGGATCTTCAACTTGAATCTCAGTCAGTGATCTTGGGGAATTCACTGAAGTTCTCCAACCCTTTTTTTTTTTTTTTTTTTTCTCTCCCCTTGTAACTAAAGGTTGAGGGACTTAGCTCCTTTCCATAGGTTTAGTTTATGGAGTATTAATAAATGAGAGACTGAACTGCCTCTTAACCCATGAACATTCTCCAGGCAGCTAGATTTGTGCCTTTAGCCTATAAACTTTTAGTGCCATATGTGAGAGAGGGAGGGAGGGGAGAAAGAGGGAGGGAAAAATAAGGTCTTATTTTGTAGCTCATGTTGCTGGAATTATAGGCATATACCGAGCCCTGCTTAAACTGCTATGTGTCTGTACATTTTTCAGTTTAGTACTGGGGAACCAACTCAAGGCCTTACTCACGCTAGACTAATACTCTACCCCTGAACTATATCTTCAGGACTTTTATTATCTTCTGCTTGTGAATTTATGGATTTAAAAATGTTCCCTTGATTATTTGTGTATGTATTATAAATATCACAAATGTATATACATGTATAAGATGAGGATAAGGAGAAGCACAAAGGGAAGATTCCTCCTAATTTCATCATCCAAAGGAAGGCACTCTTTTTTTTTCAAATGCTTCTTGTGAATCAGTACAGTGAGGCTCAGACATGTGTCCATTCAGGTCAGCAGGATCACAGTTTGGGCATTCCCATGTCTTTTATGTATACTTGTATTTCTCCTTGACTGTATTTGAACAAAATGTTAAAGTTGAAATTGGTAATACTAGCTAGCATTTGGGATGACCCCAATTTGAGGCCAGTTGGCCTATATAGTGAGACGCTATCTAAAGCTTTTAAAAAATGAGGGAGTGTAATTTTACTGAACAGGGGTGGTGGTGGGAGGCAGAGGCAGAGGTAGACACAGAAAGATTTCAGAGTCTCAGGTCAACCTGGTCTACAGAGCTAGTTCCAGAATAGCCAGAGCTACACAGAGAAACCTGTCTTGAAAAACCAAAGCAAATAAATTAGTGCAATTTTATTAAAATATGCACATATTTTGTCATTGATTGTTTAAGTAAAAATAAGGGTATTTTGAAGGGAGGTGGACTGGTCACCACACAGCTCATGTGCTCCAAGGTGCTTTCCTTTCATGGTATCTGTGTCACTTGCACTCTGGAACCTTCTGAGGTTAAATACATGAGCAGTAATTAGCTGGAAGGCATTGACTCTGCTACTTTATGGACAGTTAACTCATACCAGTGTCAAAATCCTAAATTATTATCTGCAGGTGAACTTACACAAACCTGTTTCTACTTACATATTTTAACAATCTTAATTGTAGCATGTCCAATATGTTAGGCTGTCCCCTGAGTAGGTGGCTGTATTACAGACCCTCCATACTGAAAGGAACCCTTCTCATGCATATCCATTAGACAGAATGTGTTCAGTGTCTACATTTTTTTGCAGGCCCTTAACTACTTGATGGAATTTCATGATCAAGCACTCATCATGAATCTAATTAGAACCACATGGGGAGGTAATCAAAAATGAAGGATGTCTTATAATTAGTTTTAATCCCTCCAGCATGAGGTGTTGTGATTGAGGACTCTTGTGACTTACCATATAATAGGATACATTAGCAACTTAGGGCATACTAACCTTAGTGCCCTGCATGACCCCCTGCTCACCTTGTTCAAGGTTCATGGGAGCATTCAGTTGGTTAGCTGATGGGGAGATACCAGGTGAATGAATCAAAACACTGAAGAACACCATTACAATGAAAAACCTCTTGTCACTTCTAGTAACACTGCCAGTTTCACTTGGGAGCCACAAAGATGACATTTCCAGTTACAGTAATTTACTGCTTCACTATGGTCTTGATGGACAGAGGAGAGGGAAAACCCCAAACTGTAGCAACTGGGGGTGGGGGGTGGGATGGGAGAAATCAGTTTTTGAGCTATCCTCAGTAATGCATTTGAATGGTCTTATGTAAAGTGTGTTCAAGCCATGGAAGTTAGAAAGGGATTTTAACTTTCATTGACTTCAAAGCCAATATACTTTAGCAAACAAAATTGTGTCTAATCTAAGGAAGCAGGGTTATTAGTGCCAACAGCCAGATTGCTGATGCAAGTTATGGCTCAGAAGGTAAGAGTGAGAGCATGAGGATCTGTGTTCAAATCCCCAGCACCCACATTTAAAAAAAAAAAAAAAAGCCACACTTGGCTTTGCATGCCTATAGCCGCAGTGTTGTGCAACAGACAGGCAGATCCTAAGATTGTCATGTTGGCTGGGCAGTATCGCCCAAACTGCAAGCTCTTGGTTGAGTAAAGACCCTGTTTCAAAAGGTGAAGAGCAGGAGATGCCAGTATGTTCCTCTGGCCTCCATTACCCCCCCCCCCACACACACAGAGATAAGAATTTGGGAGCTGATTGAGACAGTGATTCAAGACTATACAGTTTAATCAGCACAAAGATGACTGAGTGATCAGACCAGTGCACAGGGATATTCTGTACCTTGGCTACTGGATGAACCTTTAAACCATCCTTACAAATAGACAAGGAACAGTCAGAACACTCCTCTAGACTAAGGGACTGCCTGGCCAGGAAGGCTTTTCATCATTCGTAAGTTTAACCACCCCACCGGCTCTCTCTCTCTCTCTAGATATATTTTACTTAACCTCATGTAGAGCTACGGCAACAGGTGTGTTATGGAGGAATTTTGAAATGACAAAAATAAAGTTGCACCCCAAGTGACATAGAGTGACAATGGGAGGGCAGAAGAGTGTGGGGGGGACAAAGTTTCTAGACCTTTGGAGGTTTTGCCAACTGTCTTGTCAAGGACTGTCAAGAGGGAAGGAACGTTTTGGCTTCCCTGATCTTTTGCTTCACCCCTTTGCAGGACAAGGTGAGTCCCGCGTGGTGGCGCTTCAGGGATTCCAGACGCTTGTTGAGAAATTCTGTCTTCTCCACCTTTTCTTCTAAGTCTCTGAGGAGTGATTCCTTACCCAGAAGCCCACATTTCTGATTCAGTTTGATGTTGTCAATTCGCAGGTTGTCTCGGGCTTGCTTCGTCTTTGTCAATAGGTCTCTTCCCAGGGCCACCTGGGTCTCGATTTCCAAAAGCTGTGCCTTTTTGCATGAGTTCTCCATGTCTATGAAAGACAACTTTTCCTTCACGTGGGTTATAATCTGCACGTTGCTGGTCACCTTAGTGCGCAGTTTTAGAAGTTCCTCGTTTCGTTCCTCGACTTTCTCGTTGAAGGTCTGGTTTTCAATTTTGAGCTGTTCAAAGTCGATGAGGAGCAGCCCCTCAGCCAAGTCCTCCTGGGCCTTCATCCTAGTTTCAAAGTGTACCAGGCTCTGCTTCAGCTGCACATTCTCCAGACGCAACGCGCTCATCTCCTTCTCCTTTTTATCCTCCAGTGCCTGGATCTGTTCCACTTCTCTCAGAGCTGCTTGGCGCCCACCGCGCATGCGGCAGCTGCCCATCACCTGCATCACCACCTGCTTCTTGAGGGCCTGGAAGCGCCGCCACTCTTTCTCCACCTTGGCCTGCTTCTCCTGGCACTGATGCTTCATCTCACGCACCTCCTGGCGGTACCACTCGAGGTCGTCCGCCTCTTGTTTTTTCAGTTCCTCCAGCATGGCCAGATAGCGCAAGTATGTTTGCTCTTTTTCGGGAGAATCTAGTTCAGCACTCTTGTCCGCGGGTTCAGCTGCTTCCACGCCCTTTTTGCGGAGCGTCTCGGAGATCTTCTGCTGTAGGTACACATTGTAGCGCTGGTACCGGTTCCGCTCCACCAGCAGGGTGTGGTACTGGTCCACCAGCTCACCACGCAGCTGCTGCTCTTGCAGCTTCCGAACATCCGCAGACCACTCAAAGTCTTCGAAGTCATCGTCCTCCTCCTCTTCCTCCTCCTCTCCAGGGTGAAGATGCTCTTCTTTGCTTTTCTTGCGTCGACCTGTCCCCTCGATCTCCTCGCTATCTCTCTTCTCCGACTCCTTCGCTTTCTCTTTCTCAGGCCGTGGGGCTGGAGCAGCCGCCTCCTCGACGATAGTGGTCAACGGCAGGGAGGGCCGGAACCGTGACTCCTTGCTCTTCACCCTCTTCACCCTGTCCTGCTTCTCCAGCCGGTCGGGTTCCTCGTCCTCGTCTTCATCGTCGTCTTCGTCCTCGTCCTCGTCCAGCTTCTGGAACTCCCGCTTGGTCTCGGGCTGCGGCTCTGACAGACTCTCTGGCTCTTGGGACACGGCCTCGCTCGCGGCCTGTACTGTCCCGCCCGCAGCCGCGGCGGCCTCCAGATTTTCCGGGACCTCGACATGCGCGTAATCACTGCCCTCCGAAGCCTCTGCTTTGGGTTCGTCCGCAACCGGCTGGGTCTCCGGCTCCGACTCCGGCTCCGGCTCCTGCTCAGACTCCGACTCAGACTCCGACTCCGTCTCCAGCTCTGGCCCCGGCTGCGGCTCCGCAGGATCTCCCGGGGTCTGAGGTTCGGAGCTGACCCTGACCTCAGTCGGCTGTCTGGTCACGGATTCCTCTGCTTTTCCTTCGCCCTCGGTATCCCGTTCGTGGCTGTCCATGCTCGACCCGCTGCCGCCTGCTGTTAGGTTTCCCGGGGCAACCAGGGCGCGCGCGGTGGGCCCCACGATTGGTCGTCCGCCTTCCTTTTCTCTCCGCCTCTCAGCAATATTAAGCCAATAAAGGGCAACGAACAGGTGAATGTAGGCGCTGATTGGACAGTGGCTCTTGAGAGGTGTGGCGCACACGACCGGCTTCCGGTCTACGCCTCGCCGGCTGTCAGGCTGGGGGCGGGGCCTCGCGGCTGCGCGAGCCCATGAGGCAGAGGGAGGCAGCGGCGCGCAGGCGCAGAGCGGAGGCCCGGCCGCCCGCGAGAGGGCGCACGCGGGGCGCCTGCGCGATGCGGCGGGGAGACGGCGGCGGCGGCGGCGGCGGCCGGGCCGGGCCGGAGGGCGCCTGCGTGCTGAGGCGGGACGCGGCCCGCCTGGCGGGCTCCGGCGGCGCCTGGGCGGGGGCGGCCGTGGCAGCGGCCGGCAGCGGCGCGGGCGCGGCGGGCGCAGTGGGCCCGGCAGGCGGCAGGGCGCTGACGGCCGGGGGCGCGGCGGCTGCGGGCCGGGCGGCGGGCGAGCAGGGGAAGATGGCGGAGCTGGGCAAGAAGTACTGCGTGTACTGCCTGGCCGAGGTGAGCCCGCTGCGCTTCCGCTGCACTGAGTGCCAGGACATCGAGCTGTGCCCCGAGTGCTTCTCGGCTGGAGCGGAGATCGGCCACCACCGCCGCTACCACGGCTACCAGCTGGTGGACGGCGGACGATTCACTCTCTGGGGGCCTGAGGCGGAGGGCGGCTGGACCAGCCGCGAGGAGCAGCTGCTGCTGGACGCCATCGAGCAGTTCGGCTTCGGCAACTGGGTGAGCGGCGGGCCCTGATTAGAAGGAGGGCATGGCTGGCTGGCTTGGTGCACGCTGCGGAGGGCCGCAGGTGGCCAGGCGGGATCGCCGGGAGAATGCTGGGCGCCCGTGGCCACACAGCTGGTAGAGCAGAGTCTTGACCCGTGACACGGAGCTGTCTGCCCTTCACACTCGTCCTCAGAATGTGTGCATTGAACGCGGGCGGAGGGCAGGCCCTGTGCCTTGCCAAGCTTCTCCTCGAGCCAGATGGCAGCAAGCGACACCCTACTGTCCCTTTTGAGTTCCCTGGTAGGGTTGGGTTCTCCTGGGCACAGTGATGAGGAAGGCTAGAAGTCTGGGCTGAACATTCCGCATGCACTTGGTCTGCATTCAGGGCTTCATGTGCTTTCTGTGGGTGTCAGCATGTGCCCTGTTGCTAGGGTTCTCCGTGGGTAGCAGTGCCTTGTTTAATTCTTGCTCTCCACAGCACCCAGGACATAGTGTGATAGGTGGTCAGTAAAGAATGAACAAAGGCGTCTCCATGAGGAGGCATGTAGCCAGAGTTCTGTTTTCTAGCTGTCAGGTTTCGGTAGAGGTGGCTTGCTGGTGGCAAGAGCATTGGTGTGCCAGCCAGACTGTGTGGTGGGCTCTTGGTTGTTCTCTAGGGATCTCTAAGGAGCTCTCCATCTATTCCTCACCTATATTAGGGAACAGCTCTGTCTTCATTGTCACCATTACCACTAGGCACATGTAGCGTCCCCAAGCTTTCAGAGAAGAGGGAGCTAAGTGGCTCTGCCCTGTCCAGACTCTTTAGGGGCATGGCTGGGCCCTGCTTCTCTAAGCTCCCCTACTCCAGCCATACTGCTTTCCTATTCTAGGTCATCATACAGTGCGTGACCCTTTGGACCCACCTCCCCCATCTAGGAATGATTCTGCTCTACAGATACCTTCCCGATGGCCGACACCTTAACTCCTGCTCTCCAAACCCATCTGGTTGCTTTGTTCATAAGTGGTGTTTGTTGGTGTGTATTGAGCATTTGCATTGTATAGATCAGGCAGCATGAAGCACCCTGAAAAAGAGCCCCAGACCTGAAAATGTGGTGTTCATTTGCTCTGTTCCTGGAGCTTGTCTCTTACCTGATGACATCCATCCCTCTCTATCTGATTGCCCATGGTGACCCAGCCTTACTTTGTCCTCCGTTACAGAGTCAACTTAAAGCCTTCATCCACATCCAGTTGGTCAGCTGTCATCTATTTTAAAAAATGTGCAGACTGTAGCTGCTAATTGTGGCCTGGACCTCTCTGGCACTTACCTCTTGCTGTTTTCACTTCTCAGGGTTTACCTGTTTTCTCCTTGTGTTCTATAGCCCTTCTCACCCACCAACACAGGACTTTAAAACCTAAGCTGCATCTCTTTGGCCCCCAGCAACTTCCAGTTCTACTTAGATAACACTACAATGCCTGCAAGGCCTGACAACACCTACGGTTCCGTGTGATCTTAGGCTTACTCCCTTGATCAGTTTTCCTTTCTTCTGCCTAAAGTGCTTTCACCCTAGTCAAGACTACCGACTGATCTTTGACCTTACCTGTCGTTGCTTCAGAGAGACTTTTCTTCCTGGCATCATTCCTCCAGCACTTATCTCCAGAGTAGCCACTGAAAAGAGTAAGAGCGTTAGTTCTGGGGAGCCCAGTGCTGACCTTGGTTTATCCCTGAAACTTGGGCTGTGCTTAGGGAACCATGTGCGAGAGGAGGCAGGAAGAGCCAGAGGGGATGGAGGACACCAGGAGAACAAGACCCTCCAGTCAAGTGAGCGCAGCTCATGAGAACTCCCAGACTGAAGCAGCAAGCACAGGGCCAGCATGGGTCTGCACCTGGTCCCTGCATATGTATTACAGCTTTCAGTTTAGTATTTCTATGGGACTCCTAAGTGTGTGAGTGATTCTTGCGACTTGTCTCGGGGCTCTTTTTCTTCACTGGTTTGACTTGTCCAACTTCGATGCGATGGCTTCATTCTATCTTTTTTATATTTTCTTTTGTTAAAGAAAAGAAAAATCTTGGGCTGTGGAGTCCGCAAACCTGAGCTGGTGTTTGTGCCGCATTGGTTGGTGCAGCACAATCGGAAGCACACGGCACCCAGGAACTGAAGCTTGTAGAGTGTGGATGAATAAACAGGCTGGATGGGGAGGCCGCTTCTGAAGCAGCACTTTCAGACTTTAAGGCCAGAGGAGCTTGAGTTAAGATGCAGGTTCTCATGAGGCCCAGACTCAGCTTTGGAAGAAGTAAAGCCCAAGAGGAAGAGTCTTGGGGCTTGGCTGCCTGTGTATCATTCATGGACTGCTACCTGCGGAAGCAGCAGGGGTCTCAGGGCCAGTCTGAGAGATGCAACCACTGGTCCTCACACAGGAAGAGGAGGCTCTGTGACCCCGCTCCCTGTGCTCTTTTAGGCCAGCTGCTTTCCTCCTCTGAGCCTTGTTTTTCTTCACCAGAGGCACGATAGCTTAGATGTGTGGTTTTATTCTGAGCTTGCATGCTATTACACAGAGTATGTCCCAGTTTGAGCCTGTGCTAGCTCTATACTGTATCCTTTATGTACGCAGGTCATGTGACTTGCACAGGCTACACCGTGGGGCTGAATTTATATTCTTAGTTTGCAGTTGAAAGACAGCAACTGTGAGAATCTAAGCTGCTTGCCAAGAATTCTACAGCTTTGCCCCTGATGGTTAGATGTGATTATAATCTATGCCTCCACTATAGCACTAAGAGCCTTAAGTAATGTGGTTAGAGACCCAGCTTACTGGTGCAGTTGGTGTGGTACTACCAGAAAGCTTTACACAGGGTCTGGTTGGGATCTGTAAACAGAGAACTCCCAGAGAGGATGATACCATAGTAGGGTGGTTGACTGACATGGTCCTCAGCCACACACACAGGTCAGGCCTGCCAGGATGCTCAGAGCCTCCAGACAGCTGCTGCACTGTGGTGGGCTGTGCTGGTTGAATGATGCAGGACCTCTGGAACATGTGAACACAAACATGTAGACATGTAGAGGTTGAGGATGATTGGAGCCTTTGGTAGACAAGCCACCAATTTTGTCACCCAGTCTAAAGACAAACTGTCACAGAGGAGGCAGTTTGAGACGGCCAGCTCCTCCACAGGAGTATCCAGCAGAGGGAAGTAGGGCTCAGGCCAGCGTACATGGTTTTGAGTGTAGTAAGAGGAACCAGTGGAGAAGGTTCTTGTGCCTAGGGGCAGGTGGAGTAGCCTAGGTAGCACATCTTCTGTCTTTAGATGACAGTTGACATCCACAAGTGAACTGTGCCCGGTGTGCAGATTGCTGCATGGTGCATCCATTCCTCTGTTCACTGGCATGTGTTCAGCAATCTGCTACATGCTAGCCCCAATGGAGACATTATTGGGACAGCTGGGACCTTGCAGTGTGGGTGAATAGAGAACTCCATGACCATTGGTAAGGACAAGCAAAGGCTTCGTGGGTGGGAAGGTAGCATGGAGGAAGGAGGTATTTTATGTTCTGGGAGTTGGTGTATGTCACCTGGGACAAGAAGCTGGCTTGTCCCAGGTGAAAGGCAGCAGAGGAGGATTCGTCCAGTGGGGTGGTCAATGAATGCATATGAACTAGCATATAGTCATGATTGGAAAAACCTTAAGCCCCAGCCAGTGTGTGCTTGGGGTGTTAGAAGCTGAGTCCCACTCCTTTGTGCCAGGTGACAGACGGCTGTGATGGGGCGTTAAGGCTGATGCCCATTCTGCGATTCAAGGCATGAAAGCAGGCGTGTTGCATTGTTCCCTCACTCTTATGATTGTCTCAGACTCTGCGGCAGATGTCCCCCACTTACTGATGAAAAGCAACTGTACTGAAGGATGAGCCCAGCTAGAATCTGGACCCAGATTTTTGTGGTTTATACCTCATTGGGTTACTGACAGCATAGCACAGGCCTCCTTGAACCAAGTACCAGCCCAGACACTGACTTGACATCTATAGACTCTCAGGGACTTCCAGGCTGTAGGACCATCATCTTTTACCAGGTGTCTTAGTTAGGATTTTTCTTGCTGTGAAGAGACACCATGACCATATCAGCTCTTCTTATAAAGGAAAAACCATTTAATTGAGGTTTTACATTTTCAGAGGTTTAATCCAATATCATCATGGTGGGAATGTCGGCATG